GAAAAGCCATTTCTCCAGCTCCATGCATTAAGTGGTGCCTCTGGTAGTGGCTCGAGCTCCTGCAACCCAGCCCTTTTCCCCTTCTGATACATTCTCAGGAGTGAGAGAGACTTGCCACTGACATAAATCCCTGGGTTACCCACCGTCTGCCCAGTTTGGCTTTTTAACTCTTCCGATGCCTTTAGAACTAGTTTCCCGTAATTAAATCCTCTATTGAACTACCTGTCACGGGTTCTGTTTTCTTGTCTGAACCTTGATTTATGTAAAGATAGAGATTATATTCATTGTATGGGTAGATTAAGTGACTTGTACAGAATCACACAACTAGTTTAAAAACAGGCTTTCAGGGCTTCCCTGGTGGTGCAGTGGTTGAGAGTCCGCCTGCCGATGCAGGGCACACGGGTTCGTGCCCCGGTCCGGGAAGATCCCACATGCCGCGGAGCGGCTGGGCCCGTGAGCCATGGCTGCCGGGCCTGCGCGTCCGGAGCCTGTGGTCCGCAACGGGAGAGGCCACAACAGTGAGAGGCCCGTGTACCACGGAAAAAAAAAAAAAAACAGGCTTTCAAACCAGTAGTGACTCCTTACGAAGCCCCAGTCCTTAAACTACTATGCTGTATCGAAATGATATTCCAAGTGAATGTCCAAATAAATACTTTTCATGAATTGCTTATTTTTATTACTTAGTTCAAATTGTCTGCATGATGGCACGAAGCAGCTATTATTATCCTTTAATTGTCTATCTCTCCCATTAGCTTGTGAGACTGCTTGAGAGCAAGCACATATGTTATTCATCTTTGTAGTCTTAGCACCAACTACTGTGCTTGGAATGTAGTAGAGCCTTAATAAATATTTGTGGAATGAATGAATAATAATCACTGTCATTTACAGAGCGACTATTTCATTCCAGCAAGCATACTAGGGGTCTTATGTAAAATTTATAACTCAGTCTTCATAACAATCTTGCAAGGTAGGCATAAATATTCCAACATCATAGGTAAGGGAAAATAGGGTCAGAGTTTAAACAATTCACAACTAAACTAGAATTAAACCCAAGCTAACTGGGCTTTAAAGTCTGACCTTTTGTCTACATCTAGCTGCTTCCATTAGTATGAAGGAACAAATATATAAATAATTGGGTTGGAAAAAAATCTAACATCTTATTGGATTTCCAGTTATTAGAGGAACTTCATAAACAGGTGAAGTCTTATCTCTATGAGAAGAAAGAGGAATTCTGTATTTTCTTGCCATAATTAAATGAAGAAACAAGTTTTTGTATCTCAAACTATGCCTATTCAGGCAAAAGGAAGAGAAATTGGGATAATAATCTGAAATATGGAATGGTTTAAATTGCCAATGTGGAAAACATTGGCTATTCCCATAATTACCTAATCATTCTCTAGAGTTACTTGGCATGAGATGTAACCCTGGTGATATTCACAACTAGCTCTCCTAAAGACTTAGAAGTCAGGTTTTAGCTTTACTTTTCCATGTCTTGGTTTATTATCCAGCACGAGCCAGTAATTTTCCAAAGTACCTGGGTAGGTATTTTTATTGCTGGATTGCTGATGATGGCTTTCACTTGTGTTTCTCTGTGTTCCATACTTTGCTTTGCATGGTAAAATCATATGCATATGGCCCAGTTAAGTTTCTCCCTTAGTTTTACCAGAGTGATGCATTTCTAGTAACTCCTCTGAGCTTGGACTTAAAATAATACCTATATTTGTAAGGCTGATTTGCAGAATCCATGTCTTATTCTTTGAGTTCTGATGAAAAGTAACTAATAGAAGCAAAATAATTTGGTAGGCGTCATACAAAGAGTCATTGTTAATTCTCCATGTGCTTCTTTGGCACATACTTGCTTGGTTTGGTATTGGTTGAAATTATTTCAGCTGGATACCACCAAGAGGCTGTTCTCTTCTTGCAGAGCTAGGAGCCATTTGAAGATTCTGGAAATAAACAATTTTCATAAGATCTTTGCTGGCGTGACCCTATCTTTTATCCCAGGGAAAGGATGTTCTCCTAAATCTTCTTCATGTATGTACTACTAGTTTTGCCATGATAAAGTAAAGCCTTTATTTTGTTAATTCAATAGGAGAGATTAATATAAAATTAAATGTAGGCATTTTCCCAGGTGATTTATAATCATAAAAGCTATGTCTATGTATTTAATACTGGGGAAATAACACAATAAGACCGTTTATTTGTTTGATAAAAAATTGTATTATCTTGTCGTTGAGACACATCATTAAGGACTGGAAACCAAGGGGTGTCAAAAACCCCAGAGTGTTGCTGTTGCATGGGTGTAGAGTTTCAGTCATGCAAGACGAAAAAGTTCTAGAAATCCACTAACCAAAAGTGTGCAGGGAGTGAACAATTCTGTAATGTGCTTTTACCACAATTAAAACAAAAATAAAAACAAACACAGAAAGCAGAGTCGTGACCAGTAGACATGGAAGAAACCCAACTACATTTGTGCTGAAGAATTATCTGCTCCCATTTGAATGTCGAGAAGGAGTTAGAGAAATAAACTGATTCTCTGCTTCATAAAACTGCAGCAAGTCGTTTTCATTAGCAGTGATGACTGATGGAGATTGTCGATGATGCTGTGATCCCAGGAGCAGAAGTCACCGTGTAAACAAAGCTGTGCTGACAAAAGGGGACTGTTCACAAAGCTGACACTAGCGCGGCGTTGAGAATATGAAGAAACAACGTGTGCATTCGCTGATTTGGGGCCAAGGTGCTCAGTAATGATTGTGACATTAACTATTGGAATTTACAAATTTTAAGTAAAAAGAATAGATCTTATTCATTCATTTATTTATTTTCCTCCACTAAAATTTTTCAAAAGTATCTGAAAAGCTAAAATGTTTTCACTGTATAAGTTGGCAAATTAAGGAAAGTTTAGTGTTAATTGAATCGCATTTAATTCTTTCCAAGTGCTTAGCTTTAAACACTACAGTGAAAAGACAACTGTTTAAAAACTTCTTTCAGGGCTGGAAACACATTTTGAAACAAACCTTTGAGACATGATGATAAAACCTGCACAATATCACAATGCATAGAAGGAAAAACAGAATTCCCTGATGTGGTGATTTTCTGTGTTACCAACTCCAACTTCTATGCCTCCTCAGGTATATAGGAAAAATAGGCATTTAGAATAGGGATTTTTTTTTTTTTACATCTTTATTGGAGTATAATTGCTTTACAATGGTGTGTTAGTTTCTGCTTCATAACAAAGTGAATCAGTTATATATATATATACGTACGCTCCCATATCTCTTCCCTCTTGCGTCTCCCACCCTCCCTATCCCACCCCTCTAGGTGGTCACAGAGCACCAAGCTGATCTCCCTGTGCTATGCGGATGCTTCCCACTAGCTATCTATTTTACGTTTGGTAGTGTATATATGTCCATGCCACTCTCTCACTTTATCACAGCTTACCCTTCCCCCTCCCATATCCTCAAGTCCATTCTCTAGTAGGTCTGTGTCTTTATTCCTGTCTTACCCCTAGGTTCTTCATGACATTTTTTTTTCTTAAATTCCATATATATGTGTTAGCATACGGTATTTGTCTCTCTCTGTCTGACTTACTTCACTCTGTATGACAGACTCTAGGTCTATCCACCTCATTACAAATAGCTCAATTTCGTTTCTTTTTATGGCTAATATTCCATTGCATATATGTGCCACATCTTTATCCATTCATCCGATGATGGACACTTAGGTGAATAGGGATGTTTTTAGCCACTAAGATGAGTGAAGACAACTTTGATACCAAGAGGAATATGTTATCTCCCTCTCTTATCATTTGACTGGGTAGCTATATTGAGCTCTAATATATTGAAATATAAGCAGGCGGGAGCGGGGGAAGAAAAAACATAAGGGAGAGAGATTGAGTTCTAACTGTACAAGAAGGAAAAACTGAGAGCAGTTGAGAGGTTTATGATAAAACCAGAGGTATTAGAGATGAAGACCAAAACATAGCAGTTTCCACTCTTTTGAAAAATTATCCTATTCTATGGGTTTTTCTAAAACTAGTGTTATGTACTTGCACTATACTTAAGGTGACTTGGAATTTTATGGGAGGGATTTCAGCTTGAGTTCATTTGTATTGTCATTCAGAATTGCCAAGAGTGGTCTCTCATAATTTTCACTTATGACCTATGGATTTTTTTCACCACTTACATACCAAACAATTTGTATTTGATCATACACTGTCCAGTTCTATTCCAATGTGTTTATTGAAACGTTTTACCTTTGCCAATAAAAGTATGATTTCCTTGGGATCTGGGTCTCTCTTTCACAGAGCCTTATACTTCTCTACCTAGTTTATATTGTCTGTAGGACAACTTGTCTGTCTTGTTCACTGCTGAAATCCTGTGCTTAGCACAATGACTGGCATATTGTAGACTTCGGATAGATATTTGTTGTCTTCATAAAAGAATGAGTAAAGAGAATTAAGCTCATACATAATTGTTCAGTGGCTATTTCCTTAATGTGTATAGGGGAGTGGGATTCAGGTTTTAAAAATTAGTGCCATTTGGGATATTGTTAAATGGATATTGTTCAGAGGATTTTAATCAATTAACCCTGGGGATACTGTTAAGATAGCACCTGGCAACTTGAAGTAGATTTACTAGATTAAATATAGTCAGAGTGAAATACTTTGGTTTTAGTACAAAATATTGCCCTAATTTCAAGAAACGAAATAGACAAAATCTTTGACAAAGGGTTAGTAGAATTTAATAGAGTTTAAATCATCTTTTTGTTTTAGATATAACACATTTTACATATAAAAATGTGTACCTATATATTATATATACACATAGACACACATATATCTGTATTTATTATATATGTATACATATAGGTTTCCACTTCTATGTTTGATCTTCTCTGAAACCTCACTTCTTAACTTGCAGGATTCTTTTCCAGATCATAGAATTATTTGTTATTTTTACTTAGGCGATTTCCATGATTAAAATTCCATGTCTCCCCAGGTTCCCGTGTATCAGCAGTGCCCCAGAAAGCGTTTCCCTTCCTGAGACTCCAGGGAAGTCTTGGAACACAAAGAACTTGAAGAGGGAGCCTGGCCAAATAGAGATTTTTGAGCCTTTGTAGCCTTGCTAAAGCAGATTATTAGTACAAACAAAATCAAAGTCTGTGTGTTCCTAAAAGCAGCATTTTCATGTAAGTCCAAGGAACTCACTTTAGTTTTATTTGCTTTGGCTAAAGAAATGAAAAGCTTTGTTTTAACCACGTGGGCACTATTTTGCAAGGGGATCATAACAAATTGTTCTAATCTTTAATTTCACTAAAGAGTTACTACAGTGATTTGATGTAACTTTTTCAATGGAAAATTAACAACTAAATCTTTTCTAACGTCATTGTTTTCTAGATATGAATCAGAAGCTTCCTAGGTATTTTTGTAACACAATGGATTCTGATTCTGTTATTCAGATTCAGTGTTTTCTTCAAAAGAATGACGCTTTATGACTTTGCCAGCAATTTAATAGATTTTTGTCTTCTTTAAAGAATAGAACTAAGAAATATCAAGATTTAAAGCATAAATACCTTGGAACACTCAGAAGAGCAACATGGGAGAAACTGAGAAAAGAATTGAAACTCATAGAATAAGATGTCTTTCCAAGTTGAAGGTATGGACTTGCTTTGCATGGATATATGTATATGTACCATATATATTTTTTTAAACCGAGACCTTGTAAAGTTGCTTATATCTTCATGTATTAATCTAATAATAATGTCATTCTACCTGATATATTGATAAGTTCTTGCTTTAATGAAGGTGGTTTGTAACTGAGGGTGTGTCTAAATAGGATTATTGATTCAGGCAATTTCATCAGACATAGTTTTGAGGGATTTAAATGGAAGACAGGATCTTAAACACTTTCAAGTACACATTATATTACAGTAGGATTTAATATCCTGGATCAAAGGCCAATTTAACGTTCACCCTTCTGGGGCTTCTAAGTCAGAGGAGTATGGAGGTCTCTCCTGGAAAATGGTTCACTGGACAGAAATGCTTTGTTGATCTGTATTCAGTGATGCCTTCACAATGACCCACTAAAACAAATGTTTACTTCAAGCTCTGGCAACATACCAATCATTCTTTATAAGAAAAATGCCCATTTTGTTAGCGGTTTCTGGTATTCTTGACTATTTCAGAGCAAATTCTTTTTGCATAGCCTCAAAGCTGTTTTGCCTTCAAACAAAATTTAAATTTATTTTAAACCAAGGAATCTGGATAATTGTCTTGATTCCACAGCTAGTGCCTGCAAGTGGTTTCCAAACTATGACACTGCCACCAGTTTCCTTCCTATCAAAAGTTTGTTTTCTCTTTATACATGTGTAGGAAAGATCTACACATGTACTGGAAAGGGGAGAATCATGATATAGAGCTAGAAAATTACTTTTGCCTGAAATGCTCTGTTAATTATATATTTTAAAAATCCCCTTAAATTATTCCTAATTCTCATGTCCATCTCCTAACATTGAGGGGTTAAAAATAAGGACTGAGGCCCAGGCTTGGTTTATGTCGAGTTCAACTACTGACTTGCTGTGTGACCTCAGAGAGGTTGCTTAACCTCCTTGTGGCTCAGTTTTCTCATCTGAAAGGGGTAACAACAGTACTCATCCATAGAATGTTTTTCTTTTTACAGCCTTCAAACAATGACTGGAATATTGTAAACATTCAATAAATATTAGCTATTATTAATAATAGCATTTGTGGATAAAGGTCAAGTATTATTTATAAACAATTGGTCCTTAATTTTTTATGACTGGAGTTTGGCAGGACTAGGTATTGATCTGAAATGAGAGCAAAATACTGCAAGCACAAGTTTATCAGGTAAAAGTAAGAGACAATTGCTTCATAATTAGCCGGGTTTCTCTGTTTCTCTGACCTTAGACATATGCTCATTAAGCAACATTTTTAGAAGGTATCAAAGGACTGTCTTCAACAAATTTGCTTCAAACTCTGGGGCATTATTAAAAGCTGGTAGGACTAGCTTTATAAATATGAGGTTATTTTGCACTAGACATGAGTCACAATAGCCACTGGTTGCTTTCACTCTATGAAGAAAACCGTACAGGTTAGGAAGCCCATCTAACTGTTTCAGGAAAAGCACTGGGATCATGATTTATCTAGTTTCCTCTCTTAAAGTGTTAAATAAAAGAAATTATTCTCTCAAACATGATTTGTACTTTATTTGATAGGCCTTGCTTGCTTTTAAATATAAAATCTGAACTATAAAACCATGTGAAAATTGTTTACTCTCAACAATGTGCTCTGAAAAGATTTACATTGTGATGAGAGACAGAATTTCTACAACTGGTATTTAATATAAAAGGATAAAGAGCTAGAAATATAGTTATACTATCTTGGCAGTTATATAACGATATGAATTTTTTTTTTTTTTTTTGCGGTACGCGGGCCTCTCACTGTTGTGGCCTCTCCCGTTGCGGAGCACAGGCTCCGGACGCGCAGGCTCAGCGGCCATGGCTCACGGGCCCAGCCGCTCCGCGGCATGTGGGATCTTCCCGGACCAGGGCACGAACCCGTGTCCCCTGCATCAGCAGGCAGACTCTCAACCACTGCGCCACCAGGGAAGCCCCACGATGTGAATTTTGACTCATATTGAGCTTGATATTTAAATTTCCCAGGTCTTTTCCACATACATTTCTATTCAGATTTCCCCAAACTAATTGGTACAGATAACTTTTGGTTTAGGTGTATTTAATCCTATTGAATTTCATCTTATATACAGCTTATTTTCAGCAGTGACTACTTCTACAAGATGTTTTTGAATACTGATTCTGTCATTCATTCAGTAAACTTGTACTGGATGCCTACTGTTTGTGAGGCATTCACTAGACCCCGAAGATACGAAGGTAAATAATATATGGGCCCTATCATCGAGTTGTTCACAGTATAGTGAGGGAGAAGGTTATAGGCATCCAAACACATAAATAACGTGCACTGTGGGGAATTCCCTGGCAGTCCAGTGGTTAGGACTCTGGGCTTCTACTTCAGGGGCAAGGGTTCAGTCCCTGGTCAGGGAACTAAGATCCTGCATGTCACATGGCACGGCCAAACAGATAAACAAATAGCCAAACAGATAAATAAATAAAGTCCTTAAAAAAAAATGAAGTGCACTGTGCTGAGGGCTGTAATACAGGCAGGCACACAGCAGGGTGGGGAGATAGGGAGTGAGTGGTCAAGGCTACCTGGGAAGTAGAAAGACACCACAGTAGAAATAATGATAGAGTTGAGTTTTAAATATTGAGCATATATTTATCAGATGCACAAGGTGAAGAAAAACATTGCAAGTGGAGGACCACCTGTAAAAGAGATGTAAAGTGGCTTGGTGAATTAAAAGAACTATAAATAGAACATTATGTTTAGGGACAAGCGGCAAGAGATCATAACAAGGTATATACGAGGTTTTATTTGCCATCTAAGAAGTAGGGATTTTTGTTTATGGGAAGCCACTAAAAAGTTTCAAGAAGTGGAGTCACGTGCTAAATATGCATTTTATTCATTTGTTTGACAAACATTTATTAAGCTCCAAATTAGTGGTGGCAGGAGGTGGAAGGGAGATTGGAGGTGGGAAAGACTAGGGGAGACTAAAAAATGATTGCAGTTGTCTAAGATAAACAGTGTATACATTTGAGAGACTTCAGCATCTGGGTGGTAGTTAAAGCCATGAGAATAAGTGAGATTTCCTAGGGAGAGCGTATATAGCAAAAAGTGGAGGGTATGAGACAAAAGCCTGAGAAGAGAAGACTGGATAGAAAGAATCTAGAGATAGGTGGAGATATAGGTATGCATGGGGGGAGGGGAGGGAATTTCAGGAAGAAAAGAATGATTAATGATCTTAAATGACTCCGAGATATCAAGTTAGCTGAGGACTGAGAAGTACCTATTGGATTTGGAAATCAGGAAGTTGTTTATGACCTTTTATAGAGTAGCTTCAAGAGAGGCTAGACTGTAGTAGACTGAAGGGTGAGTGGAAGGTTCGTGTAGGCAATGAATCTAGACTATTCTTCCAAACAGTTTGATGGTAGCTGGAGCTACCATCAGGGATGAGGGAAGATTTTTAGGACAGAAATGTCTTGGATATATTTATAAGTTAGTGGGGAGAGAGGCAGTAAAGAGTATGAGGATGAAAATAGAGGAGGGGGGTCAACAATTGATGAATCAGGATCTCAGCAATGGGAAGAATGTATTCCAGAGCATGGCTGGAGGGAGTTTCTTATACAGAAGGAGGGATACATCCTTTTAAGATGGGAGGGAAATTGGAGGGGTAGGGAGGGTAAATTTGAAGGTGAAGTTGCTGAGATCATTTGCTGGTCAAGAAGAGCACGGGGCTGAGTTGGAGACTGACAAAAAGAAAAGATTGTGAATAATCTTGAAGGGAGTGTACAAAGTGCAGTATAAATTGTGGGGTTGGTTCAAGATTGAGAAATTGGAAGATGGAGCGGTGAGGATTTTATGGATATGAGTGTACTGGCTGGAGAGTAAATCGAATGGTCTCTCAGGATGGAAGTGTCATCAGGAAATGGAAAAGCCCTATGGCATAGGATTGGAGACTACCATTCAGGCTGACATAAATATATTTATCTATAATTTGTTGACTTTAAAGCAGTAATTAATCTACCTAACTTCTGATTACCCAGTATACAATGCTCCTTTTTCAAATCCCTTACTAAGACCTAAATCTTTTCACTTCCAATTTAATAAAACTGTCAAAATTTTAACTTTTTAGTAAAACCATACTTTTCTGCTGATCACAATGGTTCTGTCTGTTAAGTTGTCCTTGATTTTTTTGTTACAGATGGTGTCAGCCTGACTGCTGTCTGGAGTTATATCAATACCTAGGAAGTGTGATTCAATATGCAGAAATTTATTGTACTGTATTCATATTCATTTATCATAGCAAGTACCTGTTCAGTTTAGAAACGTTTTTGTATGGCTTATAATTAAAATATTGCTTTAAATAAATTAACTGTCAATGAGTAGCAATAGAATGTTGTATAAATTGCATATTACTTTGTTCGAGAGAACTTAAGCAAATTTGCTACTTTCAGAAATAATGTCTTTGTGTAACGTCACATTCCTTTTTAAAAATTAACATACACGTATTCTTTTGTACTACAGATAGTGTTGCAATGCTGAAGATCAATTTAAATCGTTTGCTACATGTTATTTAGAATGATTACTTGCTTCTGTGTATGTATAAGACGTGCCCATAAAATAATGAGGCTACAAATGACCTACACAATTCAATATCACTAATCAATTAGTCCCACTTTGGATTTTCAAAGAGAGAACATAGTATGGAAGACCAGAAGAAGAGATCACTTTAAAAGCTTCTTCCAAATACAAGAGTTACTTGAGCTGGAGACAATCAGTCTTTTGATAGAAGATATTTTGCCAACGGGTGACAAATGTATAATTTAAAAATAAATTTTTCATATGTTTTCTTGCACTTTTTTTCTCCCTAGATGTTTCTGTTGGCAATAACATGTGCGTATGTATCCAAAACACTATCCGGATCTTATATGAATTCCATGCTCACACAAATAGAGAGACAATTCAACATCCCAACATCTCTAGTTGGATTTATTAATGGAAGCTTTGAGATTGGTAAGGAATTATTTTTCCATTACTTCTTTTTATACATTATTTTATCCAGGGAGCTAGTCTGAATTTTACTTTCCTTATTTTCCGCTTTGTACCGTTTAACTGACTGAATGTATTTTCTAAAATGACTTAAATAGCCTAGCTCACTTTCGAATATGTTGAGAAACAATTCATTTCAATATTATCCCTGAATAACACTTAAACATCGTCACATATCCCATCACGGGACTTTTTATTCTAAGAGTTAATTTTTTTTATTCTAATAGTCCTTTGGTTAGCTAGCATGAGTAGCAGAGTGTTCAGAGTACTAATATTTAATCTATTATTTGATAACCCTTAGAGCTTTATTTTCATGTTTAGAAGGTATCATGGGAAACAAAGGAATATGTTTTCAAAAAAAAAAAGCAAATATTTCTCTTCTCCTATTGTTTCTGGGAGGTTGACAATTCTCCTTTCTAAGTGCAGAGGAAGGAAGAAACAGCTTTCACATCTCGCTGAATTTATTTCAGAAACAGCTTTTAGGGAAGCATAAAGCCTTTTCTTAGGCTCTGATTTTTGTGGCCGACTGGGAAGATGTGAGGACAGAGAGAAAGAATGAAGGAGGGAAAGATTTCTTCTGTGAACAAACCCGCAGAGAAATACAAATGTCACTCCTTTACAGTTTTGTAATGGCTTTTACTTCCTTCAAGAGGAAAGTTGCCTTTAATATTTTTAATCAGTATCTGAAAGAAAAATTAGGACGGGATAGAGGCAAAACTGAAGCAGGTGTTGCTTGATCTTGTCTACTAGTGCCCAGCTCTCTCAGACCTCATTCTGTGCCACCCGTTTGCTGGCTATGGAGATCCTGGCTATGGAGTCAGAAGTCACTCCTTGTAGAGTCCCTGTGTAAACTCACCTCGCAGTCTAATGGAGGGCATAGGTGCCAAATAATTTAACTGAATGCAGTAAGTTTGGTGACATAGGTATATGCAATGTCCTATAGGAACACAGAGGAGGGACACAACCTCACTTAAGGAAGATAGGCTCTTGAAGTAAAAAGTTTTCTGGGTGACGAAACAGGGTTAGATAAGTGTGAAGAGAATTCCAATAGAAGAAGAAGCGTAATGTTGAAACAGCATGGTAGCTTGTGTAGGAAGCAACATTCAGCCCAGTGTATGGACTGGCCACACTTCAGGTGGCAATTCCTAGAATATAGGTCTGGAGAAATGGGCAGGGGTGAGAAATGGACTATTGGAGAGCTTCTTGTGTGTGTGCTATAGATCTTACCTTTTATCCTCTAGGTAATGGAGAGTCACTAAGAGATGGGCAGAGGTTATTAACATTTCGTGTCAAGGACCTCTTTGGCAATCTGATGCCATATAATCTCAGAATAATGTAATTGTGTAAAATAAAAACCCTAAGGGTACAAAGGAAGTCAATTATACTGAAATAAAATTATCAAAATATTAAAAGCAGCTTATATAATAATTGTACTTCTTACCATCACATTAAATAACAGTATCTACACTAATTTTGAAGTAATCATTGGTGTCAATAATATTTTGAAGTATCTGCAACAACTGTAATGTCGTATGCAAATACCTGTAACTTCTGTTGGTGATAATTGATGACAAAATCATACATACTGTTAATACTAATGTAGTTTGTGTCTACTTTCACAGTCAAAGGAAATACTAATATTAAGTTACTGAAAATAAAGATGCAATTTTTTTTCTCACTGAAGTTCATGGAGGACCTGATTTCTATCCATGGACTCCTTTGGGGTTTATAGATAGCAGGTCAAGAACCTCTGTTAAAAGACATTGTGAAACAGAGCTCTCCCTCAGGGCAGGGGTTGCGTCCTATTCATTTATTATTTCATGCATCCCTAGCACCAATCCCAGTATTTCAGATATTTATTATACAATAAATGCTGGATAGTCAATGATTGGGTGAGGCTGTTAATTTAGACTTTGTTCATACTAATTGAAATATTCATTTTTCACATCAATTTTTTCTAGGAAATCTTTTGTTGATTATATTTGTGAGTTATTTTGGAACTAAACTGCATAGACCTATAATGATTGGTGTTGGATGTGTGGTTATGGGCCTTGGGTGTTTCTTACAATCACTACCTCATTTCCTCATGGACCGGTAAGTACTGCAGTCTCTGATGATTTCTTTAGGTGCAACTTTCTGCAGGAAATAAGCTTGGATTTCTTTCTAGGAACAATGCTCCTAAAGACACAGAGCGCTGTAATAGAAACTGCAAGGTTCAGATTCTGTTCCACCCCCTGTTTTGTGCTCTTAGCTACCTGGCTTCCACTTACACGTCAATTTATGAAATAGAGATTCGGGACAACTCTTTTATGGAGTTGAGTCTGATGAAAAGATTCTTAGGACCTGGCAAGGTTTGGAATTACTCCTTTCTAGGGACTATTTAGACACTTCTAATTACAGTTGAGTTTCTGTTTAATTATGGGTCACCAAAGGATAGACCAATCTGAAGGTTGATTTTCATTTTAAATTTTTATCAAAGTAATATGTGTGCAAAATTGTGAAAGGTAAAATTATATTGAAAAAAGCATTGTCCCCCACCCCTTCAACATTGCTCATATTACTCCTCTCCGGAGGCAACTACTCCCAACTCTTCTAGCTCTTTCTTCTTCTGTTTGCTTCCATATTTCTAAGTAAATGTTTATCCTTTTAGTTTTTGATACTTTAGTGTTCTATATAGACATATTGACTTCCTACTGTAAAATCATACTCACTATTCCATGTGTGTGACTATGTAACTATTTCTCATATTTCAGCTGAACCATGCTGTTATTTTCCCTTTCTTATATCACTTTTTATTTTCCCTGGATTTAATAATTGCCTCATTTTTTTTTTTTTTTTTTTTTTTTTGCGGTACGCGGGCCTCTCACTGTTGTGGCCTCTCCCATTGCGGAGCACAGGCTCCGGACGCGCAGGCTCAACGGCCATGGCTCACGGGCCCAGCCGCTCTGCGGTATGTGGGATCTTCCCGGACCGGGGCACGAACCCGTGTCCCCTGCATCGGCAGGCAGACTCTCAACCACTGCGCCACCAGGGAAGCCCTTCATTTTATATTTGATTCATTTTCTTTTTATTTCTCACTGATCATCACCAAATTCTTTACCGGTAGGACAGTGTCTTCTCAATATATTCATCCATATCAGAGGGTTTCATTTTTCTCTTTGAGATACCTCTCCTGTCATCATCAATTTTCCATCTGCAATCTGAACTGGGAACTCTCCAGGCCTGCTGCACGGCTGCTCCTTTGAAATTTTCACTCACCATTCTCCTTGGGAATTTGTTCTGCCTCTTTCTTCCATTCAGTTACTTACTTCCTGGGTAGTAATATCTTCTCCTTTCCTTTTCATTCTTACTCTTTTTGTGGAAAATGTCATCTAATAGGTTTCTGAGAAAGTGTGCAAGGAAAGTAATAATTTTAAGACCTTAAACATTGGGAAATATTCCTATTCTACTCCCATACCCGGTGACAGTTTGGATGGTATAAAATTCTGGTTTGAAGTTTTTTCCCTAGGGAAATTTTTTTGGGGGGTATGCGGGCCTCTCACCATTGTGGCCTCTCCCGTTGCGGTGCACAGGCTCCGGACCCGCAGGCTCAGCGGCCATGGCTCACAGGCCCAGCCGCTCCGCGGCATGTGGGATCTTCCCGGACCGGGGCGCGAACCCGTGTCCCCTGCATCGGCAGGCGGACTCCCAACCACTGCACCACCAGGGAAGCCCTTCCCTAGGGATTTTGAAGACATCATTTCCAATACTTTCTAGTTTCCGGTGTTACTCTTGAGAATCCTATACCATTCTAACCCCTGTGACCAGTTTCTTTTCTCTAGGAGCTGTTGGGATTTTCCTTTAAACTCCAGAATTTGAATTCATGATAATCATGTTGGTATAAATGATCTTCCTTTATCGTGCTAGGTGCCTTCAATCTGGACATTTGTAAAAGTTACTTTTATTGTTTCTTTGATAATATTCCCCCTTCTTCCACCCCTCTACTTTCTCTTTCTAGAACTTCTACTTGTTCTTGAATATTGTTACATCCTGAGTTGAGCTTATAGTTTTCTCATCTTTTCTCTCCAACTTTCTATCTCTTTGCCTTCTTGTTACTTTTAGGGGAGATTTCTAAAGATTTTTTGTTTTTTTTTTTTGATGTGGACTATTTTTAAAGTCTTTTATTGAATTTGTTACAATATTGCTTCTGTTTTAGTTTTCTGGGTTTTTGGCTGCGAGGCATGTGGGATCTTAGCTCCCCAGCCAGGGATGGAACCCGCACTCCCTGCATTGGAAGGCGAAGTCTTAACCACTGGACTGCTAGGAAAGTCCCTGGGGGAGATTTCTTTATCTTCCAAACCTTTGAATGTATTTCTAACTTTTGCTATCATATTTTTAAGTTTTAAGGACTCTTGTTCTTTGAATGTATCTTTTTAGGGAACATCTTGCTCTTACTTTAAGAATGCAATGTCTTTTCCATCTACATTTGAAGTGTACAGTTTTTTATTTGTTTTGTCTTTGTCTTTATGTTATAGGCTTCCTTCATATACCTGGCGGTCCTTGGTTAGCTATTCATATTTGAGAGAGAGGAATAGCAACAACAAGCTAACCAGAAGTTCTGTGGTACATGTGTAGGACGTGGTTGTTGGAGGGCTTCTTCCCAGCACAGGGACTGGGTGTTTTAGAGATGGCTCAGAACTGTCCATAACCTGTCAGTTAACTCAGGCAGGGATTCTCCAATCTGTTGCCTGAGACATGGCAGCTTGGCTACCAGCCAGGTGGGAGTGGGAGTCTCTTTTATCACTATGTAGATTTTTCTTTTACTTAATATCCCCAGGTATGGCCTCCTATCCTCAATGTGCTTGTTTTGACTCTCTGCAGTCTAAGGCCATGTTCGTTGGGATGGTGGAGGGTGTCTATTCTAAGGTTTTAACTGTTCCTTATACACACTTTAAACCAATCCTCTGATTTTTTGGATCATACCCACTCCCGCCTTTAGAAGTATCTCGTATCCTGCCTGAAACCTTCCAGGGATATGTGGCACATGTTTGGTTCCTCCCCTGCAGGCACGCACTTAGGCTTGTGTTTCTCATATTTTCTAGTTCAGTGACCACTCATCTCCTTTCCCATTTTCAGAATCTTTATCTTCTTGTCGAATTTTCAAAATCTCTTTCTCCTTGTCAAATCTTCCATTTTCTTTATCCTTGTGGCATTATGCCTTTTCCTTTACTATTTTATAATCCATCAACTGTCATTTTGCTGAAGTTTGGGGGATGAATGAACGTTGAATGAGTTATTGGGGTTTAGTGGATAAGTTAAATGAAAATGATATGTTATCTTCTCAGGTATTTCTGAAGGGATCAGAAGTGTTCAGGCAAAGAGTTTTTACTGTCCTTTTAGTTCCTATCCTGTCCAAGACAACATCAAGTAATATTCAGCTATTATTTACATTTCTTTCCACTCTCTGCCAAAGGTGTTATTTTTTTTGTCTGAAGCTGGCAAGTCTCATGGGATCATGGGTATGGAGAGAGAAGCCTTTGTCCACAGTTCACAGCCACTCTGTGACCATGACTGGACAATTGTTCAAAGGGGAAGGCATTTTGACCCTTTTTATTATGTTCTATAGCATAGAAATCAGAACTATCAGTGACATACAAGCATAGCACTCTTTAGCTCATTTGGAACTCAGAAGGGCAAGGTTGTCTGTGTGTGTGTGTGTGTGTGTGTGTGTGTGTGTGTGTGTTTTGTTTTGTTTTGTTTTTGGATTTCTCTTATCTACTAGAAATATAGAAACCAGTCCAGCATAATTTCTACCAAAGAGAGACTTAGCTGGACATATTTTCTTCCATTATTGCAGCTTATAATTTACTTTCTGAGAAAGGGCATGGGATCTTGTGGTAATTTGCCTAAGATAATATGGTCACAGTGTATTAACCCTTTTGTCCTTATGAGAAGAGAAAAACTCATTACATTGCATTGTCACAGTGTTTGAATCTCCAAAGTTCTCTCATTATGATGGGCAAATATTTTGTTTTTCTTGGGGATTGATGAATGCATGAAGGGATTATTGTTTGAATTCTCAGAAAGTGGGGTATATTTTTTACGAGCAAACCTCAGAGGATCCAAAGTTGGAAACTTGTTTGTTGTGTTGTTTTTCCTCCCAAAGCTTTATCTTCTTTATTATACTTCGTAGAGTCTATTATTTTTCTTCCTTTTAGTTCCTTATCCACAGCAATTATTTCCAGGAAATGATCACCTAAAAACCACAAAGCATTGATGTTAGGTAATCTAAAGGATAGACCATACATATGCAGATAATTTAAAGCTGGCTGTCAATGAATTGCACATTTTCGTGAGTGGCAAGTTCTTTTTGATGATATCAATCTATGATGACTGGGTGGCAAAGATGAAAAGACATCTGCTTTCCTGGGTGTGGATGTTGTATCTTAAGTGAAGCAGGAGCATCTTCACAATGCTCACATTGTCCTCATTGGCTCCTTAACACAAATGTGTTTTCCCTGTGTTCATACAGATATGAATATGAATCTACAGTTTCAGTTTCTGGTAATTTGTCTTCAAACAGTTTCTTGTGTATGGAAAACGGAACCCAGAGTTTCAAACCAACAGAAGATCCATCAGGTTGTCTGCTTCATTTTATTACTTTAGTTAATTTGTAACTGAACACTTTCTGTGGAGGGTCTTTGAATGAGTTACTGGGTTTGGTTAAGTAAGGTAGAGGAACAAAAAGATATTTTTTCCCCTCTAAAGGATTTTAGAGGGGATCATGGAGGAGAATAAGGAAGAGGAATGGCTAATAATAGAAAATGTAATGCCTCTTATATTTGAATATACCTATTAAGACTGCCTTGTCTTTTTTTTTTTTTTTTTTTTTTTTTGCGGTACGCCGGCCTCTCACTGTTGTGGCCTCTTCCGTTGCGGAGCACAGGCTCCGGACGCACAGGCTCAGTGGCCATGGCTCACGGGCCCTGCCGCTTCGTGGCATGTGGGATCTTCACGGACCGGGGCACGAACCCGTGTCCCCTGCATGGGCAGGCGGACTCTCAACCACTGCGCCACCAGGGAATCCCGCCTTGTCTGTTCTTTAAAATGGTTATTTAAAAATCAGTCAAAGACATCCACCCAAGGGCCACTGTAAAATTAATTCCTTAGAGGAAAACATCTTAGAAGGATGGATTTATACTGATGATTTGGTCTATACAATTATCTAAATAGGAAACAGAGGTAGAAACAAAGTTCAAAAGATTTGTGTTATATTATTGATATTCTATAGCAGAGAAAGCAGGCAAATATGCTATAGTTCTGAATAGTCTCTTTCTGCTGAACTAGGAACTTGTCTTTTTTGCCCAGTTGTCCCTCTTTACCAGAGACTACTTCCTAATCCAGCACGATAGTGTACAATAATGGTGTTTCTTCCAGGTTCTTGCAGTCCCAGGCACCAGCATACCTGCCTCTGCCCCTTCATGTGCTAAAGGACCTGTATAATCTGGTGATACTTAGTCTATAGGTGACCCTGTTAATTTACCTCAGACCAGAACTTCTTTTCCTGTGATGGGCACATTTTCAGGCTGGATTCATATTAGTGGAAGTTACGGTGGTTCCTTAGGCTGGGAATTTCACCTCCAGCATGGGATAAGAGGGAATCAAAATAGTTCAAATGAGTATAAGAATAGCTGTCTCAGAAACTCTAAATCAAAGGAACCCCCTGGGGAAGCAAAAGAAAACAGTGACATCAGCAATAGCCCGCGTTCTCTCCTTGAGTTGGCTTTTGCCAAAGAATGACTCAGGTCCTGTTTCCTATTTTTCCTAATGTGCATTGTAGTAGATAAACAAAACCTTCCCAGTGGGTGTATCTCCAGGGAAATGTGTTGATTCCTTAATCACCTGATATTTTCAGTTTTGCCCTAGAGGAAACCTGGAGTTTGCCTATGATCTGTAGACATAAACATTGTGCTCATCATAGATAAAAATATGAATACCCAGCAACGGAGACTATGATTTTCTGGACTGGGAATGACTGAGAGATAGCCTCACAAGAAATTTTGAGACTCAGCTGTGTTCAGGACCCTCACATCTGTGGGTGGCACAGTTTACTAATCATCGGGAAAATGCAAATCAAAAACCACAATGAGATATTATCTTACACCTGCCAGAATGGCTGTCCTTATAAAGGTAACAAATAACAAACATTGGTGAGGATGTAGAGAAAAGGGAACACTTGTACGCTGCTGATGGGAATCTAAATTGGTGCAGCCAGTATGAAGAACAGTATGGAGGCTCCTCAAAAGATTAAAAATAGAACTACCACAGGATCTAGCAGTTCTACTCCTGGATATATATATATACCTATATGAAAAAAACAAAAACACTAATTCAAAAAGATACATGCACCCCAATGTTCATAGTAGCATTATCTACAATACCCAAGACATGGAAGCAACCTAAGTGTGCATCAACAGATAAATGGATAAAGAAGACGTGGTGAATACATACACAGTGGAATATATTACTCAGCCGCAGAAAAGAATGAAATTTTGCCATTTGCAACAACATGGATGGACCGGGAGGGTATTGCGTTTAGTGAAATAAGTGAGAAAAAGAGAAATACTGTATGTTTTGACTTATATGTTGAATCTAAAAAATGAAACAAATGAATAATATAAGAGAACAGAAACAGACTCATACGTGCAGAGAACAAACTAGTGATTACCAGTGGGGAGAAGGGTGGGAGGAGGGGGGGAAAACAGGAGGAGGGGATTAAGAGGTACAAACTACTAGGTATAAAATAAATAAAAGGATGTAATGTACAACACAGGGAATGTTGCCAATGTTTTATAATAACTTTATATGGAGTATAATCTATAAAAATATCAAATTACTATGTTGTACACATGAAACTAATATAGTATTGTAAGTCACTGTACTTCAATTTGAAAAAGTTATTTGGTGATCACAGTATACAGTGGGCTCTATAGAGAAAATGTGATTACTACTTAGTTAAATATTTTTCATTTCTATAAAGTAATTAGAACTGTAGAGAATTCAAAACTCAGTGAGCCTCTTACATAAATCTTATAAATATAGTCTCAATTCTAGGGAGAGATATTTGTGTTTTTTCCTCTCCCCAAAGTTAGTATATATATTGGGTAGCACTTATAACAGCTAGCTAAGTTTAGTAGTTGCTCGTAAACTAACTCTCTGGAGGGAAAAAAAAGCCTTGATTTTTAGTGTTGGTCAATTTCTGTGGTGTAAATAACTCTCATCAAACTACCAGCATGTTATCACTAAATACTGAATTGGGAAGAGATGTATATACTCATCTCTCCCCAGCCAGTAGGAACTGGCTCCAGCGTACCACTTATTGTTGGCCATACGTAAGTACTCTGTCAGAAAGTGCAAAGGGGGTGGCCTGGTGAGTCATTGCTGGCATAGTAGATTGTTGGCAAGGTGCCATGGTCACATAAGAACTGTGAAATGCTTACCTACCAAAAACTTAGAATTAAGTATTGCTAATATTTCACTACCAAAACACTAATGTAATGTCTTTTTTTCTTTTAATGCAGAATGTGTGAAGGAAGTTAAATCATTAATGTGGGTGTATGTACTAGTTGGAAATATTATACGTGGAATTGGTGAGACTCCCATCATGCCTTTGGGTATTTCCTACATAGAGGATTTTGCCAAATCTGAAAACTCTCCTTTATATATTGGTGAGTTGGAAAATCTGCCTTAGCCTCTTTTCAGGACAGTAAGCTCCTTGAGCATGGATATTAGTTATTTATTTGGATGCTCAGTGATGAACAGAGTGCTTTGGCACAACTGGCCCTCATTTAAAGTTTGTTGAATGGAGCAATTATGGGCTGACTCCAAATAAGCCACTTTGCTAAACCTGCTTTTCACTATTGAAAATGCCATTAATCTAGTGTCCCTGGAGTTCTATTTGACTCCTCCATTTGCTGGGCACCACTCTATACCCAATCTGTTAAGAGATTTAGCAATGTTTTCTCCAAAATGTCTCATATTCAAAACCTTTCTCACTATTTTCATTACTTCTGTTTTTGTTCAGGTCTTCATCACTTCATGTATATGTTATTATAATTTCTATATTGGTCATTTTATCTGTAGTATTTATAATCAATTTCTTATAAAAATTCTTGCAGTATAATTTTTCTTAACTATTTTAAATATCTTCTCTTTAATGTTGATGAAACTTACTGACTCTGTCTATTAAATATGAGCTCTTTACTTATTACTAGCTCTACACTCAGTTTATCTATTTAGTTTCCTATATAGTTTCTCTTTATCACAATTTCTTTATAATAGCCAGGCTGTTTCATATTTTTCACAAATATCTGTCTTCATAATTTTGGTAATGTTTCCTGAAAATTCATTTTCTAAAATCTATCAGTATCTCCCACAATAGGCAACTTAAGATCCACCTTGTATGTTGTCTTACAATCTCCTGAATATTCTTAATTTATTATGCATAACTTGCTTATATTCCTTAGTTACTCCATCTGTTGTTGGTTATAAAATCATAACTTTGAGTACAGGGACATTTTTCTGTTAAAGTAGAAATATCTTTTTAAAACCAGAAAAGTCAAAGTGGGTGAGAGAAGATAGTAACAGAGCTACATGTAATGAGGAGATTAAAATATTTAGGAATGATTATCCCAAGCAACTTTGGGTGATTTTGATGACTCACTGACTTTGCAATAATCTTTTTCAGTGTTTTTCTATTCAGTCTTTGAAATCCATTCACATACTTATATTGAAAGATTATAGAATGCTCACCTGCAATAAATTAGCAAACACCTTGTTAAAATATGTGTTTCTTTTTTCAACAAGTATTAGGGTATATAACACATAGAAACGATGGATAATCTCTACATGTATTAAGATGAATAAGACATTGTCCATATAAAGTTTAGTATATGAATAACTACATAATTATATATCAATAAAATCTGATAAATATGTGTATAATTAAATTTGAAAATCGAAGTAATAATTATTAATTAATAATCCGTATATAATTAAATAATTATAAGTCAATTAACTATACATCAAGAAAACAATTCCATGTATGGCTCTGGAGTTTAGGAGAGAACATAAAAGCTGGACATGAAATTTAAGAATCATCTATACAGAGACAAAAAATAAAATCAAGAGGGAGAAATGAGGTTGCCATAGGAGGTCAGATGCTACATAGTGAGGAGCCCTAGGATAAAATACTAGGGAATACTTCTACTTAAGTGAATAGAGTAAGAGGAAGAAAACTCAAAGAAGGGGTAGTCATAAGGTACAAGACTAAGACAATAAATGAATGTATAGTTTTGTATCAAGTGGTAGATTTGGGAGTGAAGCTTTCCTGAGGAATATGCCACAAGATATTTATCATAACATAGCATTTCTTTAAAAATCCTCCAAAAATATGACTGTGGAAGGCAACAAAAGAATTTTGCTCTATACTGTGACTTTCTTAATAGTAAGATCCCAGCTGTAATACTGAAGGAACCACAGAATCAAAATATCCACCCATGATACAGTAGTGATAATTCTATTCTAATACCGGACACAGTAATAGTTTACTCACAAGACACAACAAAACTCACCGAAAAAGGCCATCACTTTAACCAGTCTCTAATACCACAAGAGAAAATGGCTTTGAATCATAATAGGGACAGTCCCACTAATCTCATCTTTTTTTTTTTTTTTTTTTTTGCGGTACGCGGGCCTCTCACTGTTGTGGCCTCTCCCGTTGCGGAGCACAGGCTCCGGACGCGCAGGCTCAGCGACCATGGCTCACGGGCCCAGCCGCTCCACGGCATGTGGGATCTTCCTGGACCGGGGCACGAACCCGTGTCCCCTGCATCGGCAGGCGGACTCTCAACCACTGCGCCACCAGGGAAGCCCCATAGAATTTAAAGGTTCCCATTTCCTTAGTTTTATTTCAAAATTATTATTAAGGAATGAAGTCATACATACACACTGATAATTTTAAGTAAGTTAGTCTTTCATAAGAGAAAAGGAATATTTTCCTCTTCGAGAAGGGCGTTTGCACACAATATGGTCACCCTGCTGCAGCCAGTCGCTTCTAACTGCAGATCTTTACCTGTAACCGAGTGTGAAAGAGAATTTGGAGGCTTAGAGAAAGTGGCTTCAAATTAGGAGGCTCCTGTTTCAACATTTAAACAAACATCCTTGTTACTTATACATACACCAAGTTTAATTTTCCTACAGATTGAACACATAAGGCAAAAATATCTAAGGTAAAAACAATTCAATCTTCAGACTCTTCGTGGGATTAGAACTCTTTATGTGTGTGTATAACTTTATATCTTCCTTTATTTTTAGGGTTTATAGAAACAGGAGCTATCATTGGTCCTTTGATTGGACTTTCGTTAGCGTCATTCTGTGCAAATGTTTATGTTGACACTGGATCGGTGAACACAGGTAACTCCATAAAATCTATTTATACAGTGTCTAAAGTACACAAAGCATCATCAGGTATGTTATCACATTTAATTGTTACTTTATCTGACCCTCAATTAGATAGAATCTCCACTTTCCAGGTGACCAAATTGAAGTTGAGGAGTTTAAATAATTTTCAATATTTCAAACCAGTGAGGAGAGCAAGATACAGTGCTGATCTTCTGACTCAAAATCCAGTGCTCTTTCTACTGCACTAATCATATTTCTTGTTTTCAAAAGATTTAAGCACATAGGTTTGAATTCTTTTTAAATCAAGCAATCATTTGAGGATAATGAAATAGAACTTGTAGCTCTTTAATATGTACCTATTTATGAATTCCTTACATGATAGGACAGATAGTCAAACGAGCTTATTGCTAGACAGTATTGTAACACCACATATTTTCAGACAAGTTTTATCAATGTCTGAATTATATGCAAATTTTGTACTTGGATAGAACCTGACAATTATAATTGTAATAACTTTCTGTAGTTCATAAAGGAAATAATGACTCAAGCTAATAAAAATTGTGTGTATCTCTTTACAGATGATCTGACCATAACTCCCATTGATACTCGTTGGGTTGGTGCATGGTGGTTTGGCTTTTTGGTTTGTGCAGGAGTGAATGTGCTTACTGCCATTCCTTTTTTCGTTTTGCCCAAAACGCTTCCAAAGGAAGGACTAGAGGATATGGCTGAGACCGTTAAAAATGACAAAGAAGAGAAACAAAGCGAAGTCAGGAAGAAAAGGGTTGGAATCACTAAAGGCAAATATAAACATTTATATTTTACAATTTACTTTTTATTTTCTATAGTCATGTCTGTATCTTAGTCTATTACAATATGCTAGGCTGAGTTAAAACAATTTGTCACTGACAGTCAGCAGTCAATAATGTCTAGCTGTGCTACTACAATAATGTTTTCCCATGCTACCACATGGGAGTGAATGATATAGTTTAGAACCTGACTTAGATCAGCATTTATATGAAATTTTATGTCAATCTGGGTACTCAATAAATAAATAAATAAATTAGGTCCCATCTGCCTTAAAAAATCTATTTTACAGAGAGCATAGGTCTAATTAAAAATGAAACTCAAACCAAGAACAAAAGGAGGAAAAAATATATGCTAATCCAAATAAGTACCATATAGGTCTGAAACCAAAAGTATTAGCTGAGCTGTGAGCTTCTTGGAAGTTAAGGCAGAAAAGAAAAAAGGCACCTCAATTATAGGTCATATAATTATCTATATTTGAGAGTGGAAAGGATAACAATTCTTAAAGAGAAATTGTTGCCCAAGTAACAAGTTGTAAAAAAAAGAAAAAATTATATGATGTACAATACAGGTAATATTGAGTCACACAGTTGTTTTCCAGCAAATTCAGGAGCATATTTCATGTAACAGGTTTTTTTTTTTTGGTATAGATCCTCAATAAAACTCAAAGCATAATTTACAGAAGGTGTATCTATGGGAAAATAAGTATGATAATCTATGTATAGTATTCAGGAATACTGGTTCTCAAACTTGGCCACATATTGGAATCACCTAGGGAATTTTTAAAATTACTGATGCATGGAAATTTTGTAGTATTACCCAGAGGTCTGATTTAATTAGTGTAAGGTATGGCCTGGGCCTTGGAATTCTTAAAGAGTGTCCATTTGGAAGGTGGTGGGGGGCTTAGTTTCCTTACCTCAAAGATAGGGATAAAATACTATTTATTATTATAAAGTTGTTGGGTGAAGGTAAAAGGAGTTCTGACACATATTACTATTATTACTGCTTACTAGTATTATTATTGTTGATGTTGCCACTTCTACCGTCACCCGTAAATTATAATATCAATTTGCACAGAATTTTTAGCAGTTACAAATTCACTTAAACCACAATTGAACATAATTTAATACTTCTCATATCATTAGGAGCCAATTCAGAATCTTACAAATTCTCAGAGTCCTTACGATTATATTCACAACACTTGTCAAAGGGCCGGTATGGACTGGTAGGGAATTTTAACACAGAATATCATTTATAGTCTGCAAGATAAACTAGGAAAGGGCTTAACTTAGTATATGACATCTAGAAAAGAAATTGAAACTACTGAGACTCATCTATTAGGACAGTATGTCAACAAACATGTGTGACTTCAAAAGCTCCAAAGAGCTGTGAACACAAGTCACTTCTCTGCCATGTACTTTATTCATAAATATGAATTCTGCAACTAGAATTCATTTCTTTGCATTAAACTATGCTTCCTCCTCTTCCAAGTTGTTTACTGATTGATACTTTGCTAGATTGGATTTTAGGCTGTTTATTAAGCAAACCAGGATAATACACAATAAGTAAGGAAGTCAAGGCAGACAACATGAAGATAGGAAAAGTGAAAAGAAACTATAAGTGAGACTTTGACCCAAAATGGAGACAGTGTGACCTAGAACATTTGCTAGAGCTGGCCACAAATTTGGCTCTGAGCTTTGTCTGTCCACACAAACAGGAAAACATTCACATGGTCTTTAATATATAGCAAATGAATCAGGATCTCAGGGAGCGAGACCTCAGGAAGCAAAGAAATGCCTAGTACTTGAGAAAATTTACATGTCATGAATTTCCACATCTAACTACATTTTAAATGTTCAGGAATGATTAATCAATATGTGAGTGTGAACTTCTTTATCAAATTGTTTTCCTTCCTGGCTTTAGAGGACAGAACAGGAGAACAAGCATCTTTCATTCTAGATGATCTCTAGAGAAGAGAGGATATTAGTACAAGTAAAAGAGAAGGATAGGGCTTCCCTGGTGGCACAGTGGTTGAGAGTCCGCCTGCCGAAGTAGGGGATACGGGTTCGTGCCCCCGGTCCGGGAAGATCCCACGTGCCGCGGAGCGGCTGGGCCCGTGAGCCATGGCCACTGAGCCTGCGCGTCCGGATCCTGTGCTCTGCAACGGGAGAAGATAAGAAAGAAATGGTGTGAACTCGGACAATATTTTTGTCATGTAATAGTTATACTTTTTCCTTAAGACATGTTAGTAACTTAGTGAAGGCAAAACGACTGTGTTCTGATCCCTTCCCACTCAGCTGCCTCACTGTCTTGCAGAAGCTACCAAAACAATGATACAACTTTAGCTTTCAAGGGGCAAAAAGAATCAAGAAACACAAGTGCATTATAAAACAGGAAAACATACTTTAGAGGGGAGGTTGATGTTTCAGAAAAAGTCAATCATAAAATGCAAAGCCAAGTTTGTATGACACTGTTGTCATCCTTTCCTTTCAGATTTTTTACCATTCATGAAAAGTCTTTTGTGCAACCCAGTTTACATGCTTTTCATACTAATAAGTGTGCTGCAATTCAATGCATTTGTCAATATGATCTCCTTCATGCCTAAATATCTGGAACAGCACTATGGAAAATCAGCTTCAGATGCAATCTTTCTCATTGGTATGTTTGTTCTTCTCTGCAATTGTAGCCCACCTTTTTTCCCATGAAATGGTGAACAGTGTGATGATGGGTCTAGGAAACTCCTCAATTGAAATCTGTTAGGATATTTTTGCCCCTGGTAATATCCCCCCGTCTGCTCTCCAGGGAAATCAAGAGAGGGTAAGGAAGAGAAGAAGCCAGAAAATCCTGGTTTTCTTCTTTCTTTGGCTCTTTTTGTAGTCAGAATGCAAATCTGAAATATTTGTGGAAAGTTTAGGGAATGTACAAGTTAGATACAATTTTCAGATTGGTAATTCATTTATGTAAAAAAGCAGACAGAGTTAACTCATCAGGAATTTTGTTTCACATCCAGGTTTTACTTTTTTGGCTCCAATTCATGAATTCCGTGGTTTCTAATTTAGTTCCCTGGCTCCCTGGTGTTTTGAGATGTCTCTGCAGCCCATACATTCTGATTTTCCTGCAGCCACACTAACCTCGGTGGTTCTACTCCACCCTGAGTTTCTCCTGGGATCTTTTTTACTGTTTTGAAAAGAGAATTTCCAGATTACATGTACCTACATCACCTAGAGTGTTTTTTTTGCGGTACGCGGGCCTCTCACTGCTGTGGCCTCTCCCGTTGCGGAGCACAGGCTCCAGACGCGCAGGCTCTGCGGCCATGGCTCACGGGCCCAGCCGCTCCGCGGCATGTGGGATCTTCCCAGACCGGGGCACGAACCCGTGTCCCCTGCATCGGCAGGGGGACATCTCAACCACTGCGCCACCAGGGAAGCCCCACCTAGAGTGTTTGTTAAAAGTTCAGATACCTGGGACCCATCTCAAATATACTAAATTAGACTCTCTGGAATGGGACTTGAGAATGGATATTAAACAAACTCTCCAAGAGTGTGATTCAGTGAACAGACCCTGGCACTGTAAGGATGAAACCTAGGGTTGTCTTTTCCCTTTTTTGGGGGGGAGGATTGGGGGAGGGAGAGTGCTAGTCAGTAGCAGCAAGACATGAAATGTAAAGATACTTGACAATCACAGGCTCAGCAAAGTGCCTCTAAAATACCTTGAGCTGAGTTAAATTCTTAACAATCAGAGTGGGAATAAAAAGCTGCAGAATCATACAAATCATTCTATGTATGATTATATAATACTGAATATGTTATATACAAATCATTATATATATAATCCCACCCGAAAGAATGGAAAGCAGTAAATGACTGGTCGACTTTGACTTGTCACTTCCACCTAGATCCTAAGAAAAGAGATATAGACCTTGATCCCTGCAAAGAAGAAATTTACAACTTACTGCTATTAATTAAATGAATGACAATGATAACAGTCTTCCAAAATATATTTCAATGTTGTGGGGCATTTAAAAATCTCTCTGTATGTAATACATAACTAAGTGGGGATAAATTTAAATTAGCCTTCTTCACTATGAGTTGGACCTAAATGGTTTTTTATGTGAGACATATTAGATAAATGTGTTATCATATTTTTTCCTTTGCTAAGTCACTTTGTACATAATATTTTACTTGCATTTATAGGTATTTATAACTTACCTCCAATATGCATTGGATATATAGTTGGTGGTTTAATTATGAAGAAGTTCAAGATTACTGTCATACAAGCTGCCCACATAGGATGTTGGTTATCTTTAATTGAGTACCTTCTCTATTTTTTGTGTTTTCTCATGATCTGTGATAATTCTTCAGTTGCTGGCATAACCACCTCTTATGAAGGGTATGTTGTTTTCTAATGAATGTCATACTCTGTCAAAAGTTAATAACGTATTTTCTACAGTGATTACTCATGACCAGATTATTTGCTAATTGGAGTTAATGGCAGGAATTTGTGGTCTTTCTCCATCTTATTAAAGAGGTTGGGAATATATCACAGAGTTAGTGAGCTTATGATTGCGTGTGTGTGTGTGTGTGTGTTTGTCTTTGTGATATCCTAGTGATAGTAAAATGAATATCACAGAAACTAGTTATGGTTTTAGGTTGTATTAGGATGTGTTATTCATACATTTTATACAACCATAAATAGGTAAAATTAAGAGTTGACTATACAGTCTCAATCACCTTTATATGGTTCCACGATGGGCTTAAATTTAATGTAACTGAATCCTAATACATGATATATCGATGCTTATATAAATTTATATATTTTATTTGTATAGGTATATCTATATTGTTGAATGGTTTTAGATTTGCGTTTTGAGGGTTACCTGGGTTCACAGGAAGGTTTTGCATAGTGATATGAATTTTAAAAAGTCATTTGTAGGACATGTCTAGATAATGGAGTGATTAGCTGAAATGAAGAGCATCCTAAAATGATCCCTTTAAAATTACCAAGGACTATACAATTGGAATAATATTAAATATATAATCATAAAAGTAATTTTATATATTATCTTATTTGAGTCTTGCAAATTCCATTTAAGATAGCTGTTGTTACTTCCATTTTACAGATGAAGAATTGAGATTCAGAGAGATTAAATGACAAAGGGAGGTCATGGAAAACCTCTTCAACTCCATCAATATATAAAAATAGAATTTAAAATTGGTAAAATCTTAAAGATTATCTCCATCTCCAATTATCCTGATTCCCAGAGCAAATACGTAAAAAGGCATAATCTAATCATGAGTCAGGACTTTAATTCAGTTTCTAGACTCCCATGCTACCGTTCTTTTCATCATATTACATTGAACATAAGAAAAGTAATCTTGTTAGACTTTTAGATCTGTTTTTAAATCGAAGTATAGTTGATTTACAATGTGTTAGTTTCAGGTGTACAGCAAAGTGATTCAGTTACACACACATATATAAATATATATATATATATATTTCTTTTTCAGATTCTTTTCCATTATAGGTTATTACAAGATATTGAATATAATTCCCTGTGCTATGCAGTAGTTCTTGTTGTTTATTTTATATAAACTATTCATTTTTTATACAATTCTATTTATTTTTTTATAGTGTATATCTGTTAATCTCAAACTCCTAATTTACCCCTCCCTTCTTTCCACTTTGGTAACCATAAATTTGTTTTCTTCGTCTGTGAGTCTGTTTCTGTTTTGTAAATAAGTTCATTTGTATCATTTTGTTTAGATTCCACCTAAGTGATATCATATGATATTTGTCTTTCTCTGTGTTAGACCCTTTTTAGAAAACTCTTTTTCCCTGGTTTTATTGAGATATAATCGACAAAAAACATCATGTAGGTTTAAGGTGTATAATCTGATGATTTGATACATTATATATTGCAAAATGATTATCACAATAAGGTTAGTTAACACATCCATCACCTCGCATATTTACAGTTTTGTGTGTGTGTATGGTAACTTTTAAGATCTACTCTCTTGGGAACTTTAAAACATACAGTATTGTTAACCATAGTCACTAGGATGTACATCGTATCCCCAGAACTTATTCACCTCATCTCTGCAAGCTTGTCCCTTTGACCACCTTTCCCCATTCCTTTTCCTACCTCGCAGCAACCACCAATCTACTGTTTCCATGAGTTCAGTTTTTTTAGATTCCACAAATAAGTGAGATCATATAGCATTTTTCTTTCTCTTTCTGACTTACTTCACTTTGCATAAAGCCCTCAAGCCTCATCCATATTGTTGCAAATGGCAGGATTTCCTTCTTTTTCTATGGTGGGTGATATTCCATTTTGTGTGTGTGTGTGTGTATATACATATACCACATTTTCTTTATCCATTCATCTGTCAATGCACACATAGGTTATTTCCATGTCTTGGTTATTATTGTGAATAATGCTTCAATGAACACAGGAATAGAGATATCTCTTCAATCGTCTATTTTCATTCCTTTGGATAAATACCTAGAAGTGGAATTGCTGGATCATATGGTAGTTCTGTTTTTAATTTCTTGAGGACACTCCATACTGTTTTCCACAGTGGCTCTATCCATTTACATTCCCACCAAAAATGCACAAGGTTTCCCTTTTCTCTACATTCTTGCCAGCATTTGTTATCTCTTTCCTTTTGATAACAGACATCCCCTTAAACATCCTAATAGGTGTAAGGTGATATCTCATTGTGGTTTTGATCTGCATTTCCCTGATAATTAGTGATGCTGAGCACCTTTTCATTTACCTGTTTGGCTGTTTGTATGTCCTCTTTGGAAAAACTGTCTATTCAGGTCCTCTGCCCATTTCTAAATTAGATCATTTGGTTTTTGTTATTGAGTTGTATAAGTTCTTTATATTTTGGAAATTAACCTCTTATCAGATATATGATTTGCAACTATTTTCTCCTATTTCATAGGTTGCCTTTTCATTTCGTTGATGGTTTCACTTTCTGTGCAGCAGCTTTTTAGTTTGACGTCATCCCACTCATTTATTTTTCCTTTTGTTACTTGTGCTTTTGTTGTCAAATCCAAAAAACTCATTGCCAATACTGGAGTCAAGGAGCTTACCCTTTATGTTTTCTTCTAGGAGTTTCATGGTTTCTGGTCTTAAATTTAAATCTTAATCAATTTGAGTTGATTTTTGTGTATGGTGTAAGGTAAGGATCCAGTTTCATTCTTCTGCATGTGGCTGTCTGGTTTTCCCACCACCATTTATGAAGAGACTTTCCCAACCCTATTGTATATATTCCTAGCTCCTTTGTTGTAAATTAATTGACATACATGCATAGGTTTTTTTCTGGGCTTTCTATTCTGTTCCATTGATCTATGTGACTGTTTTTATGCCAATACCATACTCTTTTAATTACAATAGCTTTGTAATATGGTTTGAAATGAGGAAGTGTGATATTTACACCTTTATTCTTCTTTCTCAAGATTCCTTTGACTATTCAGGGTCTTTGTGGCTGTAGGATGGGCTCTGTGGCTGCCCAGGCTCTCAGGCCAGGCATTCTGGATGGGTAGGACTGGAGGCTATACTTAGCAGTTGGGTGGAGCTCCATGGCCAGGGTGGTGCATTGACTGGGAACCCAAACCAGGCAGAACTGCCAACCGAGCTCTCTGGCCAGATGGGGTCACCACTCAGCTCTGCAGATGGGCAGAGGCACTAGCTGGGATCCCTGCTTGGGCACTGCTGCAAGCAGGAATTCAGTTTACCAAGATCTGACTGCTGGTTGCTGTAAGTCCTTCCCCCCTCTCCTTCTCCAGTGGTCAAACCCCCCAGATTCTCCCAGTGATCCCCTTGTGGAAAGATCTGAGTGGGCCTCCTGGAAAGCATTCAACAATCTGGGGGCACTGGGCTTTCTTTTCCCACTGGAGAAACCATAGGCTTAGGGGGACTGTCTTGATGTGGTGTTGTGCTAGCCAGGGGGAGGGGCAATCTGCTCAGAGTGTTATTGCTCCTGTTATCCTTCTAAGGTCATCCTTCTCAGTCTCTGTGGCTCAGGAGGTGCTTCAACCTCACAACTGTGTTCTGGGATTTTCACAGTGGTGTCTTGTTTATGGATGGCTGCTAATTGGTCTTCTTGATGATCACTGAACACTTTTTATACTAGAAGAATATATTTGTTTACTCAAGTAGTTGTTTCTGGAGCTAAGTGTATTATATACATTATAAATTGCACTTACAGACTTTGCTCTTACAGATTTTGAGCCCTTGAGATTGTTTTTATAAAATATGATCTCTCTTGTTATTTTCCAAGATGTGGACCAACACTGGGATTTGTTCATCTTCATTTTTGAGTTCTAATTAATACCTGGAAAAATACTTTCTGTGTAGTAGGTGTTCAGGTAATGCTTGTTTATTGGCTTTTGTTTACCTGAAAGAAATCATTGAAAACCTGTCTGTGGTCACCAAAGTAAGGTGTATTTTCTTGCAGAGTTATAGTATCCAAGCCATACATTGACAGTTGGAAGATTTCTGCTTCTATTTTGGGAAGTAGAAGAAATATAATTGGGAACTGAGCTGAAAAGAAAAAGAAAATGCTCTAATATTCTTTCAATATCCATGGCATTATTTTAAATCATTTCAGAGTGCCACAAGATTTACATGTGGGAAATGTCATCCTTGCTGACTGCAACATGGATTGTAACTGTCCAACTAAAATATGGGACCCTGTATGTGGAAACGATGGTTTGTCATACATGTCAGCTTGTCTTGCAGGTTGTGAGACATCCTCTGGAACAGGAATAAACATGGTAACATATCTTATTGGCCTTTTATACAGAACTTTTGTTTTATGCACTGCATTGGCACATTCCAACTATGAACTGGGTCCATATTTGACAAAAGTAAAATTAAAGTCTTTCTTCAAAACAAAATTATAATTTTTTTGTGGAAAAAATAAGTTAATTTTTATGTGCTCACTTAATTTATCTTTTACTTCCTAGATCTTATTTGAATTCTTCTGCATGTCTGAGCTCTGATCTTTAATTTCATAACAGTTGACATTATTACTTAATGTCATTTAAAAATACTCTAGACTGAAAAAAAATACTCTAGACTGAGATAAAGTAGGCAGTTTTGCTCTCAATTATCCAGTCAATCTCTTTGCTGGGTTTTTTTTCTTTTTTCCTGTGTATATGTACACATGTACTTTCTGTGTTTTTACATCGTGACAGCTTTTTAAGAAGATAGAATTGGGCATGTTTTCTTGCCTAAAAAATGTCACTTATAATGTTGGTTGGTGATCAAAATAAAATACAAATTTTGATTTATTTATTTTATTGCTGGGTCAAAACATATACAAAATTCTAACGTTTATAATGATTATTTATTCATTTATTTAAAACATCTTTATTGGAGTATAATTGCTTTACAATGGTGTGTTAGTTTCTGCTTTATAACAAAGTGAATCGGTTATACATATACATATGTCCCCATATCTCTTCCCTCTTGCATCTCCCTCCCTCCCCCCCTCCCTATCCCACCCCTCTAGGTGGTCACAAAGCACCAAGCTGATCTCCCTGTGCTATGAGGCTGCTTCTCACTAGCTATCTATTTTACATTTGGTAGTCTATGTATGTCCATGCCACTCTCTCACCTTGTCCCAGCTTCCCCTTCCCCCTCCCCATATCCTCAAGACCATTCTCTAATAGGTCTGTGTCTTTATTCCCGTCTTGCCCATAGGTTCTTCAGGACCATTTTTTTTCTTTATTCCATATATATGTGTTAGCGTACGGTATTTCTTTTTCTCTTTCTGACTTACTTTACTCTGTATGATAGACTCTAAGTCCATCCACCTCACTACAGATAACTCAATTTCGTTTCTTTTTATGGCTTAGTAATATTCCATTGTATATATGTGCCACATCTTCTTTATCCATTCATCTATTGATGGAAACTTAGGTTGCTTCCATGTCATGGCTATTGTAAATAGAGCTGCAATGAACATTTTGGTACATGACTCTTTTTGAATTATGGTTTTCTCAGGGTATATGCCCAGTAGTGGGATTGCTGGGTCGAATGGTAGTTGTATTTTTAGTCTTTTAAGGAACCTCCATACTGTACTCCATAGTGGCTGTATCAATTTACATTCCCACCAACAGTGCAAGAGGGTTCCATTTCCTCCACACCCTCTCCAGCATTTATTGTTTGTAGATTTTTTGATGATGGCTATTCTGACCGGTGTGAGATGATATCTCATTGTAGTTTTGATTTGCATTTCTCTAATGATTAATGATGTTGAGCATTCTTTCATGTCTTTGTGGCAATCTGTATATCTTCTTTGGAGCAATGTCTATTTAGATCTTCTGCCGATTTTTGATTTGGGTTGTTTGTTTCTTTGATATTGAGCTGTGTGAGCTGCTTGTATATTTTGGAGATTAATCCTTTGTCAGTTGCTTCATTTGCAAATATTTTCTCCCATTCTGAGGGTTGTCTTTTCGTCTTGTGTATGGTTTCCTTTGCTGTGCTAAAGCTTGTAAGTTTCATTATGTCCCATTTGTTTATTTTTGTTTTTATTTCCATTTCTCTAGGAGGTGGGTCAAAAAGGATCTTGCTGTGATTTATGTCATAGAGTGTTCTGCCTATGCTTTCCTCTAAGATTTGATAATGTCTGGCCTTATATTTAGGTCTTTAATCCATTTTGAGTTTATTTTTGTGTATGGTGTTAGGGAGTGTTCTAATTTCATTCTTTTACATGTACCTGTCCAGTTATCCCAGCACCACTTACTGAAGAGGCTTTTCTCCACTGTATATTCTTGCCTCCTTTATCAAAGATAAGGTGACCATATGTGTGTGGGTTTATCTCTGGGCTTTCTATCCTGTTCCATTGATCTATATTTCTGTTTTTGTGCCAATACCATAGTGTCTTGATTACTGTAGCTTTGTAGTATAGTCTGAAGTCAGGGAGCCTGATTCCTCCAGCTCCTTTTTTCTTTCTCAAGATTGCTTTGTTTATTCGGAGATTTTTGTATTTCCAAACAAATTGTGAAATGTTTTGTTCTGTGAAAAATGCCAGTGGTAGTTTCATAGGGATTGCATTGAATCTGGAAATTGCTTTGGGTAGTATAGTCATTTTCACAATGTTGATTCTTCCAATCCAAGAACATGGTATATCGCTCCATCTATTTGTATCATCTTTAATTTCTTTCATCAGTGTCTTATAATTTTCTGCACACAGGCCTCTTGTCTCCTTAGGTAGGTTTATTCCTAGATATTTTATTCTTTTCATTGCAATGGTAAATGGGAGTGTTTTCTTAATTTCACTTTCAGATTTTTCATTATTAGTGTATAGGAATGCAAGAGATTTCTGTGCATTAATTTTGTATCCTGCTACTTTACCAAAGATGCTGGTAGCATCTTTAGGAATCTCTATGTATAGTATCATGTCATCTGCAAACAGTGACAGCTTTACTTCTCCTTTTCCGATTTGGATTTCTTTTATTTCTTTCTCTTCTCTGATTGCTGTGGCTAAAACTTCCAAAACTTTGTTGAATAATAGTGGTGAGAGTGGCAACCTTGTCTTGTTCCTGATCTTAGTGGAAATGTTTTCAGTTTTTCACCATTGAGGACGATGTTGGCTTGTCATATATGGCCTTTATTATGCTGAGGAAAGTTCCCTCTATGCCTACTTTCTGGAGGGTTTTTATCATAAATGGGTGTTGACTTTTGTTGAAAGCTTTCTCTGCATCGATTGAGATGATCATATGGTTTTTCTCCTTCAGTTTGTTAATATGGTGTATCACGTTGATTGATTTGCATATATTGAAAAATCCTTGCATTCCTGGGATAAACCCCACTTGGTCATGGTGTGTGATCCTTTTAATGTGCTGCTGGATTGTTTGCTAGTATTTTGTTGAGGATTTTTGCATCTATGTTCACCAGTGATATTGGCCTGTAGTTTTCTTTCTTTGTGACATCTTTGTCTGGTTTTGGTATCAGGGTGATGGTGGCCTCGTAGAATGAGTTTGGGAGTGTTCCTCCCTCTGCTATATTTTGGAACAGTTTGAGAAGGATAGGTGTTAGCTCTTCTCTAAATGTTTGATAGAATTCATCTGTGAAGCCATCTGGTCCTGGGCTTTTGTTTGTTGGAAGATTTTTAATCACAGTCTCAATTTCAGTGCTTGTGATTGGTCTGTTCATATTTTCTATTTCTTCCTGGTTCAGTCTCGGAAGGTTGTTCATTTCTAAGAATTTGTCCATTTCTTCCAGGTTGTCCATTTTATTGGCATAGAGTTGCTTGTAGTAATCTCTCATGATCCTTTGCATTTCTGCAGTGTCAGTTGTTACTTCTCTTTCATTTCTAATTCTATTGAGTCTTCTTTTTTTTCATGATGAGTCTCGCTAATGCTTTATCAATTTTGTTTATCTTCTCAAAGAACCAGCTTTTAGTTTTATTGATCTTTGCTATCGATTCCTTCATTTCTTTTTCATTTATTTCTGATCTGATTTTTATGATTTCTTTCCTTCTGCTAACTTTGGGTATTTTTTGTTCTTCTTTCTCTAATTGCTTTAGGTGTAAGGTTAGGTTGTTTATTTGAGATGCTTCTTGTTTCTTAAGGTAGGATTGTATTGCTATAAACTTCCCTCTTAGAACTGCTTTTGCTGCATCCCATAGGTTTTGGGTCATTGTGTTTTCATTGTCATTTGTTTCTCAGTATTTTTTGATTTCCTTGTTGATTTCTTCAGTGATCTCTTGGTTATTAAGTAGTGTATTGTTTAGCCTCCATGTGTTTGTATTTTTTACAGATTTTTTCCTGTAATTGATATCTAGTCTCATAGCGTTGTGGTCAGAAAAGATACTTGATACGATTTCAATTGTCTTAAATTTACCAAGGCTTGATTTGTGACCCAAGATATGATCTATCCTGGAGAATGTTCTGTGCGCACTTGAGAAAAAAGTGTATTCTGCTGTTTTTGGATGGAATTTCCTATAAATATCAATTATCTCCATCTTGTTTAATGTATCATTTAAACCTTGTGTTTCCTTATTCATTTTCATTTTATATGATCTGTCCATTGGTGCAAATGGGGTGTTAAAGTCCCCTACTATGATTGTGTTACTGTCAATTTCCCCTTTTATGGCTGTTAGCATTTGCCTTATGTATTGAGGTGCTCCTATGTTGGGTGCATAAATATTTACAATTGTTATATCTTCTTCTTGGATCGATCCCTTGATCATTATGTAGTGTCCTTCTTTGTCTCTTGTAATAGTGTTTATTTTAACGTCTCTTTTGTCTGATATGAGAATTGCTACTCCAGCTTTCTTTTGATTTCCATTTGCATGGAATATCTTTTTCCATCCCCTTACTTTCAGTCTGTATGTGTCCCTAGGTCTGAAGTGGGTCTCTCGTAGACAGCATATATACAGGTCTTGTTTTTGTATCCATTCAGCCAGTCTGTGTCTTTGGTTGGAGCATTTAATCCATTTACATTTAAGTTAATTATCGATATATATGTTCCTATTCCCATTTTCTTAATTGTTTTGGGTTTGTTATTGTAGGTCTTTTCTGCCTGTCCCCAGCGGCTAAGGTTTGTTCAGTGGGTTGCGTAGGGTTCCTGGTGGAGGGGAATAGTGCCTGTGTTCTGGTGGATGAGGCTGGATCTTTTCTTTCTGATGGGCAGGTCCACGTCTGGTGGTGTGTTTTGGGGTGTCTGTGGCCTTATTATGATTTTAGGCAGCCTCTCTGCTAATGGATGGGGTTGTGTTCCTGTCCTGCTAGTTGTTTGGCATAGGGTGTACAGCACTGTAGCTTGCTGATCGTTCAGTGAAGCTGGGTCTTGGCATTGACATGGAGATCTCCTGGAGATTTTCACCGTTTGATATTTCTTAGAACTGGGAGGTCTCTTGTGGACCAGTGTCCTGAACTTGGCACTCCTACCTCAGAGGCACAGCCCTGACACCTGGCTGGAGCACCAGGATCCTGTCATCCACACAGCTCAGAATAAATGGGAGAAAAAAATAGAGAGAAAGAAAGTAGAAGATAAAATAAAGTAACATAAAATAAAATAAAGTTATTTAAATAAAAAATACTTATTAAAAAAAGTTTTTAAGTCATAAAAAGTAAAAAAAAAAAAAAAAAAAGAAGAGAGCAACCAAACCAAATACACCAATGATAACAAGTGCTAAAAACCATACTTAAAAAAACAAAAACAAAAAACGGACAGACAGAACCATAGGACAAATGGTAAAATCAAAGCTATAGAGACAAAATCACACACAGAAGCATACACATACACACTCACAAAAGAGAAAAAGTGTTATATATATATTTATCGTTGTAATATATATATTACAACATTGTAATATATATAATATATATTATATATATATAACGATATATATTGTAATATATAAATAAATAAATATATAAAATATATATATATATATATATATATATATATATATATCGTTGCTCCCAAAGTCCACCTCCTCAATTTTGGGATCATTCGTTGTCTATTCATGTATTCCACAGATGCAGGTACATCAAGTTGATTGTGGAGCTTTAATCCTCTGCATCTGAGGCTGCTGGGAGAGATTTCCCTTTCTCTTCTTTGTTCGCACAGCTCCGGAGCTCAGCTTTGGATTTGGCCCCACTTCTGCGTGTAGGTCGCCTGAGGGCGTCTGTTCTTTGCTCAGACAGGACGGGGTTAAAGGAGCAGCTGCTTCGGGGGCTCTGGCTCACTCAGGCCGGGGGAGGGAGGGGTACGGAGTGTGGGTTGAGCCTGCGGCGGCAGAGGCCAGCGTGACGTTGCACCAGCCTGAGGCGCGCTGTGCATTCTCCCGGGGGAGTTGTCCCTGGATCCCGGGACCCCGGCAGTGGGGGGCTGCATAGGCTTTCAGGTGGGGAGGTGTGGAGAGTGACCTGTGCTTGCACACAGGCTTCTTGCTGGCGGCAGCAGCAGCCTTAGTGTCTCATGCCCGTCTCTGGGGTCCGCGCTATTAGCTGCGGCTCGCGCCCGTCTCTGGAGCTCCTTTAAGCTGCGCTCTTAATCCCCTCTCCTCGCGCACCAGGAAACAAAGAGGGAAGAAAAAGTCTCTTGTCTCTTCGGAAGCTCCAGACTTTTCCCGGACTCCCTCCCGGCTAGCCGTGTTGCACTAAGCCCCTTCAGGCTGTGTTCACATGGCCAACCCCAGTCCTCTCCCTGGGATCCGACCTCTGCAGCCCGAGCCTCAGCTCCCAGCCCCGCCCGCCCCGGCGGGTGAGCAGACAAGCCTCTCGGGCTGGTGAGTGCCGGTCGGCACCGATCCTCTGTGCCGGAACCTCTCCACTTTGTCCTCCGCACCCCTGTTGCTGCGCTCTCCTCCGCGGCTCTGAAGCTTTCCCCCTCTGCCACCCGCAGTCTCCGCCCGCGAAGGGGCTTCTAGTGTGTGGAAACCTTTCCTCCTTCACAGCTCTCTCCCACTGGTGCAGGTCCCTTCCCTATTCTTTTGTCACTGTTTTTGCTTTTGCCCTACCCAGCTACGTGGGGGAGTTACTTGCCTTTTGGGAGGTCTGAGGTCTTCTGCCAGCGTTCAGTAGGTGTTCTGTAGGAGCTGTTCCACATGTAGATGTATTTCTGATGTATTTATGGGGAGGAAGGTGATCTCCACTTCTTACTCTTCTGCCATCTTGAAGCTCCACCTTCCAAATTTGATTCTTATTGAAATCTGGGAACATAAGAATTCAAAAAGGGTTGACTTTGTTCTGTTTGTGAAATAAACTATATTTTTTGAAATAAAACTTTGTTTATTGGTAAGTAAACATTTCAACTGAGCATTCTGAAACAAATTTTATTTGTCATATTTAGCATGTGGCAAAACAGCATGTGTTTCTAAAAAGCATGACTTTTAGGCAACAGAGCTATTGCAAATGTACTCAGATTTAGAAAGAAATACCCTTTTTCGGAAACCACCTTCTATGTTTTGTTTCACCAGATAATCCTGAGACACAATAAAGGATATGAGAACAAAGGGATAAACTGTCTATCTTGACCTAATTGGGCATGCAGAAAATATTTGAGATTTGTATTCAAAACTTTCCTTCCTTAAATAGGATAATATATTATTTTTGACAGGTGTTCCAAAATTGTAGCTGCATTCAAACACCAGGAAATTCATCTGCAGTTCTTGGGCTATGTGACAAGGGACAGGACTGTTCCATGATGCTCCAGTACTTTTTAATCTTGTCGGTGGTCAGCAGTTTCATCTATTCTTTATCTGCCATCCCTGGATATATGGTTCTCCTGAGGTACAAGAATTGTTTTCTTTATTTAGATTTATTGCTGGTTATTTAGTAAGGGAGCTTTTTCTAAGGAATCCACTTAAGTCCACAGTATCTAAGAACCTGGTGCTCTATATATACCAGTTATTAAGATTTTCCCGTTAAGCATTGTTGAATTTTACCAAATTTTAAAGTTAGCAATAAAAATGTTTATCTGTTGGTATTTCCCTCCCTATCTTTCCTACCTTATTTCTTAGAGTTAAATTCGTGAACCTCTCATTGTTTAACACAAGAAGAGACACGTTTATATTTTAGGGTAAACCATATGAAATGATCATTTTCCTAGGTACAGAGTGGTTGCCTAGCTGTCATTTCTTATAGTTCAACCTATAGGACAGCAGAGTTTAAAGCTGTCGGAAGTCTCAGTTTCACCAATTACTACCCACAGGGCAAAAGGCAGGTCAATTGATCTTTCTGAACTCCTTTTATCTTTAATTAAAAAATGGATATATAATGAATGCTCAACTGTCTTATAAGGCTACTGTGAGACACAAACATTGAAGGGCTTACTGAAAATAGGAAATTGCAGAGCTAGGATTCAGACTTAGGTTTATTACATGTATTTTTCCAATTACAGCAGCTTCATGCCTTGTAAACAATTCTAAACATGCCTAGTAAGCAAAGTGCATAGTTTTCTCTTTTCTTCATCTTGAAGCAGAGTTAAGTTGATCATAATTCTCAGTTCATAGTTTATCCTAGGTGAGGTAAGGTTTCCCTCTTGTTTTATTTCACTTTATTTTAATTTTTTTCATTCCATTCCCCACTTCCTATTACCACCGACATCTATATTAATATGATAGACATATGTTCTTAAATACGTATTTTCCTTTGTAAAATATTAAGTTTTTTGTGTATTGTGTTTTATATTCACACAACTAGTGTTGTGCCATAAATTTGTTTTGGTTCAAAAGGCACATGGATACATAAATTCACCAAGTACTGCTAGTACTTATGAGTTATTCTTGTACCATCAATGCATGGGAATTTCTACTTCCTTATAGCCTCACCAACACTTAGAATTATTGAACCTTCTGACTTTGACTCTTCCAATGGGTGTAAAATGGTAGCTCACTGATGTTTTAATATGTTCCTAATTCAATGAGTTTAAGAATTTCTTCAAACTTTTTTCTAGCTATTAATGCTTCTGCTTCAAGATGTTTATTCATTATTTTTGCCCATTTTCATTATAATTCCTATACTTTTCTTGGTGAATTATAGACATTAATGTAATATTGTTTACTTGCTACAATTATCTTTTCCTGGTCTCTCATCTTTCCTTTGAAATTTTTCATAGTATTTTTTATGAAATTAAATCCTAAATTTTGTTGTAGTGAAATCTAACAACTTTCTTGCCTTAGGGTTTGTGTATTGGGGAGTCACATTTCAAAAGGGTTCCCATATTCCTAATTTATAAAAGTATTCCCCTAAATTTTATCCTACCAGCTATACAGCTTTACCTAGTTCTTTAAGTCATCACAAGTCTATCTTTATGTTTGGCTCAAGAGAGAGAGATATTCAGTGTTATTTTTCTCCAAAAAATAAAGTAGCTTTCCCAGCATCATAGCACAAATGAGAGGTCTTTATTCCATTGATTTGTGGTGCCATCTTTATCGTATTTAAAGTTTTTATATAACATGGGCCATTTTCATTCTTGTTCTGTTCCACAGTTTATTTGTTCTCATACCAGTGACATTGCATATGTTAATGTCTCATACAGTAGCTCTTCCTCACCCACCCAACACTTTCACCTTCACTCTTCCTTATTCTTTTCTTCCTAAATTGATTTAGCTATCAATGCATGGATCTTTATACTCACATATGAATTTGATTGTATGGATTCTATATATTAATTGGAGAAACTCTGACATCAAATACTTGTGAACATGGAATATTTTTCCATTTATTTAAAATTTCCTTTATAGATACCACACACACACACACACACACACACACACACATATAGTATGTATATACACACACAAAATGTTACCATGTACAATTGCAAATATATATGTACCCATATATATCCAAACATACATATATGGACATGTACTTATTTGTAATTTAACATGGTGTTATTTTCTTTTATATTTTCTAGTTGGTTATTGTTGGTTTAGAGGAATGCTGTTGATTTTTTAAAGTTTACTTTTTATCCAGCAACTTTTCTTATTTTTCTAATAACTTGTTGATTTTGTTAGGTTTTCTATGTAGAAATATGTGCACATATGGAGAGTTTTATCTCTTCACTTCCAAACCTTACACATCTTAGGTTTTAAAAATTTTCTTACAGCATCAGCTTGGACCTCCAAAACTGTGTTAAACTATTTGGTGATAGTGAGTATTCTTGTTCTTTTCTAATTTTAATGGAAACCATGTAAAATTTTTCCATTAAATATGATGCTTGCTATAGATTTTTAGTATGAGTTTTCATCTAGTTTCTGAGTTTTTAATAATAGAATCAGTATTCAACTATCAATATATTTTTCTTCATCTAGGAAAAAATTTATATATAATCTTCCAACTCAGTACTTTTAGTGTAGTGGAAAAAAGTGATAGTTTTTTTCTACATTGAACTGCTTGCATATCTAAGAAAAACCATACTTAATCACAATATATTTTTATATATGATTTGATTTAAATAATAATTTATTTAAAATTATTATATCTATGTTGATAAGTAAAACGTACCTTTTATTTTCTATTCTCTTTTGTTTGTTTTTTGGAATCTTTCTAGGCCCACAAAATAAATTAATAAATTTTCTATTTTTAAACTTCTGGAACAACTTGCATTAAATATCTGTTTGTTGAAAGTTTTATGAATTCACCTGTAAAACTATTTGTACTTTGGGCTTATTTGGTCAGTGATACTTGGTTATTATTTTCATTTATTTAATGTTAGTGTCTATTCACATTTTCCATATCTGCTTACACCAGTTGTATACTTGTTAGTGTATGGTATTTATAATATTCTTTTATCATTCTGATATTCTCTGATATATATATATATATCAGAGAATATATATATATATTTCTTTTTTAAAGAACCAGTTTTTGGCTTTGATAATCTTTATTTCATCTATTTCTGCTCTTTATTTTATTTATTTAAAAAATTTTTTCCTTTTGGGCTTGCTCTGTTTTTCTTTATTCAACTATTTGAGTTTAACACTTAGATAATTTGCTCATTTTGATTAATGTAAATAAAATCATACATTTCCTTGCAAGTATTGCTTTAGTTATATCTGAACTCGTATTTTCCATGAAGTTTACTTCTAACTCTTTTGTAATATCTTTTATGTTTGCTCCACCACACAAAAATTTATTTATGTGTTATATAATTTCCATATCTATGAGAAATTTCTGTAGGTATCCTTTATTATTGTTATTTCATTTTCACGTTCAGAGAATATAATCTGACAGATGTGGGGTTTGGGGGGAAATATTGAGGCTTTCTTTGGGGCATAATGCATATTCAATTTTTGAGTGTTTCATGTGTTTCTGAAAAGAAAGTGTAACTTCTGCATTTTGGATATACAGTTTCCATATTTCTTTGATTGAAGTTAATCACTGTGTTATCTAAATTTTGTAGATCTATGCTTGTTTTTGGTCTGCTTAATTCAACAGTTTTTTGAAGATGGATGTTAAAATCTTTTAAAATTGCTGATGTATTTCTTCCTATAATTCTGTCAGTTTTTTAATTTATATATTTGGAGGCTATATTGTAGGATGTAAATGTGTCTTTATCATTATACTTCTATTATTAGCAGCACTTAATTTTCTTCTTTATCTTTTAGTCATTTCTTTCAGGCAATTCTATTTTGTCTCTTATTAAAATTGCAGTACTGGCTTTCTTTTGGTTCACTGCTTCCTGTTACACCTTTTTCCTTCCCTTTCTTTTCAATCTTCAATCTTCTATTTCACTTTATAGACAATATGCTGGATCTGATTTTGTAATTTCAGATTGGTGAGTTTAACCCACTTATATTTATTGTAATTAATGTGATAGGGCTCTTTTGCCACTTTATTTCATATATTCTGTTTATTTGACTTTTTGCTTCTGTTTTTGCTTTCCATTGTATTTATTGGATTTTCTTCTGCTGCTTTAAAAGTCAAATCTTTCCAATGGCTAGCCTGATTATTGAAATTCTTAGCTACATTTCTGTTTTACTTATCAATTTCAAAACTTTTCAGTAATAATATCTACTTTCTATTAAGATGAATACTTAATCATGCTCTCATATCTCTTCATATCTTTACTCTCTTCCTCCAGCTCTTGCCAAGATCACATTGTTGGATTTAACCCCTGAATTTTTATGGATATACTTATGCTTTTCTCTATTTTTGTGGAATCTTCATGGATCTCCTACCATGATGGTAGAGGGATGCAACATCTATGCTACTCTGCCAGTTTTTAAGAACTATTTTAATTTCTCTCAGCATTTTCCCATAATTTGCATTTTAATTTTTCTTTCTTATTTCTGGATTCTAGAATTAATGTTGTTATCAATGTCAAATAGTGACAGCATTTGGAGAACAGTTTAAACTGTTTACAATTTCTTAGCTATAAGGATTTCATACTTTTGTGAGATCATAAGGTGGTATATTAGAAATAGAGGAGAAAGAAAAATTCTTCAGTGAAATTTAAATGCCCTATTTTCTGTATTAAATGGTAACTATGGGAGCAAGAGGGTCATGCTAGGTCTCCTGGCCTTTCTTACTTCCTTCTCAGTAAAATCCTTGATGCTGTCTAAATAACCTACGTGTTAGATAGATAATGACCAGATCAACTGTATCTCAGCTGAAGAGTTATTTGAATTGGTAAAATACTTATGCCAAGAAAACGCCAATAATATGATGTTTTTGCTAAAAATGTACTACGTCCTTTTGTGAAGAAAGCTGCTTTCATTTTCTCAGCTTTGAGTTAATCAAAGAAGGGAAGGGAATACAGAGGAACTCTCCAAGTGAGTTCTTGGAGCAGGTAGCCATGCTGCTGATGAAGTGAGTGGAGCACAAAAAGTGCCATTGGGGAATTATAGTCTTCATTTCTACTCATAGGAATTTCAGGCAACAGTGAAAACATCAGGGAATTTCTGGAGAGAATGGAGGAATCTGTGCCACTCTTGAAAAGATACCAAGTCACTTAAAATATGTTTGCTTTGGATTGTTTTCATCACTTTCCTTTGAAAATTTTTATTCTGGCTTTCTTTTCTCCTTACATTTATGTTTTTAAATTCTTGGCTTTTCTGTATTTTGTTAATAGAAATAATTTAAATACACCTAGGGTTGTACTGTTCTTGTTTTAAGCTAAAGTTTTAACCATCAGAATCAAGAAATACTATTCAAGAAGAGGATACTGGGGTAGAAATCAACTGATACGAAACATTTTCTTCCTTGATAACTTTACGATAGAAATGAATGAGCAAAAAGTGATGGATAAAATGCCAAGGACCAGAGGTGGGGCTCCTGTGAAGGTTATGAACTGGATAATCAGGCCTTGAATAACCAAGACCTGAGCAGGCAGGAAAATTTTCTAAGGCTCAGTGTGTTACTAGCACACAAAGAGTTCTTTTAAGAAACTGTGGTAGATTTTAAATGTCTACTTTTTAAATTTATGAATTCATTTATTTTTAGGTGTATCAAGCCTGAAGAGAAGTCTCTTGGTGTGGGATTACATGCATTTTGCACAAGGGTATTAGGTAAAAATAGTTATTTTTCCCAACATCACATCAGACCACTATTAAATACTAAGTAGATGAAATCACTCCCTCGGAGTAACAGTCTAGCAAATATCCCTTCTGCTTGTAAACAGCACTTTGTAATTAGTGTGAGAATGAAGAACAAAAAGAAATAGAGAACTTCTCTTTTTTATTTGAAAAAGACCTATCTGACCTTAATTCTACTTTTCATCAATGCAATTTGAAAAGCAAAGGAACAAGAAATGCTTTGTTAAAGTATAATGTGCATGTGATTGGCCCAAAACATTGCAGAAAAAAATGTAAAGAATCATTAATTCAGTGTTTTTCTCTACTGATGATTTTTATTTTGCATTTATCCTTCAGATTACTTATTTTTTATAATCTAAAAACTTTACAGTAAAAGTAACTTCCAGTTTCTAAAAGTAAAATTTAAAGCAATAGATGTATATTTTGTTAAACTTTATTTGTTCTACGAATAAAGTTAAAATGTTTCCAAACAAAATATATCTTCTTACCTTGCTAACGGATTCTTCTTTCTCCCTTTTAACTGTAGCTGGAATTCCCGCACCTATATATTTTGGAGCTTTAGTGGACTCCACATGTTTACACTGGGGTACTTTGAAATGTGGTGAGTCAGGGGCATGTAGGATATATGATTCCACCAACTTCAGGTAAAGATAATTTTTTAAATTGCTTTCTAAGCATAGGCAGTGTGTAAAACGGTACCATTCATATCTAACATTTTCTTTGTCAAGGGACTAGATTACTTTTGCCTTTGTTTCCAGAATAGATAGTGGTACTGTATCTCCAATTCTTATTTATATACTAGAATTTTATTTCCTCAATATTTTCAAAGTACTTGATAAATATAAGCATGGGTGGCTTTCAAAAGCTTGTTCCTTAAATTGGTTGCAATCAATATATTGTTGAAGGTCATGGCTGTACAAAAGCTACCTATCTAAATTATATTACTCTCAAGTATCCCCATTTAATCCTACATCATTTCAACATCTTACTAGGTTAAATCCTTACTTCCTTTCACTATCCACTTCTGATCTCTAAAATGGTATTTTTTCTCCCTCATTAAATTTCACTGACACAATATTCTTCATGTCTCTTAAAGCTTTATTTTTTTTTAATAACAGACGTGATTTTGAACAAACCTCATATGATAATATTAACCTGTTTTTTAACAAAACTCTGCCATTTTTCTCTTTTTATTTTCACATTCTTTTCCATTTGGAGACCTGGATTTTGTTTAAATTTATATTAATTTCTCCTTATGGGGAGGTAAGAAAACTCATTTTCTAAAAATGATTTAGCATTATTTAAAATAGTCTAAGGTCTTCTCTTGATCAGTAAAAGGATATATGTCAAGAACTGTGAAGAGAGCAGACAGAATGTGATTCATGTTTTCATCAGTTCCCCTTTCCCCTAAAGTTCCACAGGGGTAATACGGAGGTGGGCACAGATACATGCTGTGCATGCAATGGGTTTGCATCACAATTGAGGAAAGCCAAGGATCCCTAGTGTAGGTTGGCCTCATCCTGCTGCTTTGATTCCTGTTTATAGTAGCTTTGATTAAATGATATTTCAGACAAAATTATTATATTTGGTACCATCCTCTGTCAGTCAGGTGAATTAGAGTGACCAATGAAGTGTACTCATGAGAAAATTCATCAGAAACTAATACAATGTAGAAACAAGAGTTACATGTTGATGGACAATTCTTCATGGGTTCCTTGAATTTTGGCATATCTTGTCAGCAGAAGCTTTTGTTCTGAACTATCTTTTCAAAGATGTTTGAACAGTAAGTGACCTTGGAAGATAAAAATGGTCTTTTCCTCTGGAGCAGAGTTTTCTGTCCAGGATGATAAAGGTAGCATCCCCCTCTGGGGCAAATGTTGGCAGATTTGCTTGCAACCCATTTAAATGATAGGGATTTCCTAAACTCAGGATTGCTTAGCTGTGACCCGAACGCAGTATGTGCACAACATCCACCTGGGTCTCCTGTGTCCCCACTTCGGGACTTGGGGGGTGAAAACTAACCTGAACATGAAGCTTGTGCTGATTACTGTAAAAAAGTCCTTTGTCTCTGACCAAGGAGGCTTGTATCTTCTGCCAGTTTCCATGCAGCTCTGGCAGGCTAACTTGTTAGCTTAAAATCCAAGTAAGATCTAGGACTCTTTTACAGTTCTTGAGAACAAAATACTGATTAACTTAAAAATTGGCCAAAAATGTAAGGATGATCACTTACATTTATTACTATCTAATGAAAAGTGGGGAAAGGATTAAGGAAAATTTGATGGAAGTAAGGCATAGGAAAATAAAAACACACAAAATAATTGAAAATAAAGCCTAAATATACCAGGTTTCACAATAAGTGTAAACCAATTGAACTCGCTTCTTAAAAGATAATGCCTTTCATATTGAAGTTTTCCAAATTCCAGCTACATGTTGTTTACAAGAGAGAGCCTAAAAATATAATGCAAAGAAAGGTTGAAGATAAAGGTCAGAAAATGTATACCAGACAAATATTAAATCAAGCTTCTGTGGTTATATTAATGACTGTAAGACAAAGTAGAATTTAAAGTGAAAAGAATTAATAGAATTAAAGAAGGGTATTACTTAATAATAAAAAAAGCACTTCACCAAAAATATATAGCAATCATGAATCCATATAAATCTGTCAACATAAACTCAAATATATAAAACAAAAATTCACAAAATTACAAGAAGAAATCTACAATTAGGAAAATTTCAACACACTTCTACAACAAGTGAATATAAAATACAGATGAAAAATTAGTGAGAATATAGAAGATTGAACCATCCAATCGCGCAAAAATTATCTATTGGTAGATATATTGTGATTTTTTTTTTTTTTTTTTTTTTTTTTTTTCGGTACGTGGGCCTCTCACTGTTGTGGCCTCTCCCGTTGCGGAGCACAGGCTCCGGACACGCAGGCTCAGCGGCCATGGCTCACGGGCCCAGCCGCTCCGCGGCATGTGGGATCTTCCCGGATCGGGGCACGAACCCATGTCCCCTGCATCAGCAGGTGGACTCTCAACCACTGCGCCACCAGGGAAGCCCTATCGTTTTTTTTTAACCCAACTAACAGCAACCATGGGAAAATAATGCAAACCTCATTGTAAAAGAGATTTAAAAAGAAACCCTTTTGCACGTTATTGCTGTGATTCTAAGGAGGGAATAAGATACAGATACACCCAAGAACTAGACCGAGTGATCTACTCCCTCTGTGATTATTCCCAGTATCACTATGAAAAGAACTAGGAAAGGCCTAAGAACCTGGGGGACAGGGAAAAGCAAAGGGAGAATGATCAAATTTGGAGGAGTAAATACAGAGAAATAGAACAGCAAAGAAAACCAAAATAAACAAAGAACAACAACAAAATACTCAAGAAGAGCTTGTAAACTGAAATGTTAAAATACATGAATAAATCCAACAGTAAGAAAGACAAGCACATAAACTACCAATTGAAACATGACTTGATTCCAGATTAAATTTAATCTAAGATAAGAATCTGACAAAGACTTTAAAATAAGTATGTTTAACCAGCTCGATAGGTTTAAAAATAATAAATTGATGGCATAATACCCATTAAAAAATTAATAAGAAATTATGAAAAAATTCTAGCAGAAATAAGAATATCAAAAAGAACTCTTGGAAATATTAGAGATTAAATGGATAGCAGTGAAATAAAAAGAATCCTAAATACATAATAAATTTCGAGTCAACATAAGAATTGGTGAAATGGAAGAGAGTACAGAAGAATTTATCTAGAATGTAAATCAATGATTTGAACTGATTCAACAAAAATGAACTACATAAGTAATGTTAAAGACCAATTAGCAATTAAAGGATATATCTCAGAAATTTTCTAGAACAGAGAATAGAGGAAATGGCAGAGATAAATTAAAGAACTAATGGCTTAGAATTCGTTAGAATTAATAGAGTCATACATTTTCAGATCAAAAGTGCACTTCAAATGCCTAGTGGAATAAATTAAATAGACATATCAGAGTGAAATTACAAATGCTCAAGATAAAGAAAAAACATAAACACTACCCAGAGAAATAAATATGTGGCTTATAAAGAAATAACAATTAGACCAATAGCAGATAGGTCGTCAACAACCATAGATCCTAATATCTTTATGATCCTTATTGCTTTGGGTTTGGGTTGAAACAAAAACACAAACCAGAGAGCAAGAAATTATCAAATGTGACTACATATAAAATTTTTTAAAATGTTTGCAACAGAAAACACCATAGACAGTGAAGAATGATAGAACACAAACTGGAAGCATCTGGAACTGTCATACACTGCTGGCGGTGAATAAAAACTATTGAAAAGAACCTTTGGGCAATATTTACTAAGCTGCATCCTCTAAGATGCTTACACATATTTTCGAGAAACTCTTCCTCACATGCACAAGGAGACATGGCAACAAAGGTTTGTTGCAGTTTTGTTGATATTTAAAAACATTTGAACAAAAGCGTCCCACAGGAAAATGGATAATAAGCCGTGGTGTGTTTGCTACCGAACTCAGGTTCAGCTGCTAGCTACTCAAAAGCCAATACACTGAGAGGCAGTGTCAGTAGAAAGGAAAGGTGCTTTAGTCAGAAAAGCTGCCAATCTGGGGAGAAGGTGGACTCGTGTCCAGAGACCAACTCCGAAGATTCTGCTTAGCCATGACAGTTTTTAAAGGAAAAAGTGTTGGTCGGGGGGTGGGAGGGTGGGAAGAATCTCAGTGAATCATGGAGGCAGGAGATTGTTCTGCATCATTCCCACCGAGTGCAGACTGGCTGACTCTGTCTTCGGATGTTATCTTGCCTGAATGATCTGCCTGCAGGATTGCTAAGCGAGCTGTTGAGAGCAGAGAGCTAACCATTCTTTATCTATTTAATTCTTCACTCTTACTTCTTTTTAACTAGGAAAAGAATCAACAGGCTAGGCACAGCATGGTGTGCGTTAAAGAAAGCCTTAAGTCAGGAGTTAGTTTCAATTGTTTAGTGATTTCATTCCTATAATTAGGGTTTTAAAGTTAGAGGGGGACAGAAATGGGTAAACAGGAAAAGGGCAGAAGAGTTGCTTTCATGTTCATACATCACAATGTTGTTCAACAGTTAAAAATAAATGATGTAGAACTACATGTATGAGCCTAGTTTTAAAATGGTGGGCTGATAGAAAAACTTTCAAAATAAAAATGTAGTATTATGCCAATTATTTAAAATGTAAAAATATATACAATAATTGTATAAATTATGAATGGATAGATGCATACTTTGTAAAGCTATAAAAATAAACTAGGAACAAAATCCATAAAATTCAACATAGTGTTACACCTGGGATGGGTTAGAATGTAGTAGGATCACAGGAATTAAATATTTTCTTTTAACCTGGTCTGAAACAAAAATGGCAAAATTTAATCATTTAAAAAACCTGGAAGGTGAGTACAAGTATGCTTAACTCTTTTTTCCCTGTATTCTTGAAATGTTTCCTAATAAAAGAAAATTTTAGAAGTAGAATATGAATATAAGAAGCAGAAATTAATAAATAGACTACACACCATAGAGGTAACCCCAAAAAACCTGTGTTTTCTAAAAGATTGAAATATAATAATAACAATAATCTGGAAAGGCAAATAAAGAAAGAGAAGAGGCATAAATAAACACTATTAGGAACTAAAAAGGAAATGTAAGTACAGATACTTAGGAATTTTATACATAATAATTTGGAAACATGTTAAATAGTTTTCTAGATTAATATGTATTATCAAATTTTACTATAAATATATAGAAAACATGAATATTTTCATAGCCATTTAAAAAATTTGAATCAGTCAAAAATTCTCATCTTCCAAAGACATCAAGTCCAGAAGCTTTTAAGGCAAGTATTACAAACCTTCAATGAACTGATGATTCCTGCATTATACAAGTTATTCCTAGAAACGGAAAAAGAGGGAAAATTTCCCAATTCATTTTACAAAGCTAGTGCAACCTTGATATTGACATTAGACAAGTTCAGTATAAGGAAAAAAGCATAAGCTGATTTTACTTGTAAATATACATGCAAAAAATTATCAAATTGAATCCAATAAGATATAAAAACTAACAAATAGAGTTTGTTATAGAATTATAATAATAATCTTGGATATTCTGCTAATTATGTACAGAAAAATGATTTAGTGATATTTTACAAATTCACAACTAAAACTCTGAGCAAACTCAAAAGAGGAGAAAGAAACTTCCTTAACCTGATTAAGATCATCTAAGAAAACACACGAGTAAATATTATAATTAGTGGTGATTTTTGGAAGCATCCTTATTAAATATTGAATAAAACTGCTATCCCTGTCAGTATTAAATTTAAGTTGAGGAGTCTATTCAATGTAAAAAGATAAAATAAAAACAGTAACAAAAGATTAGCAAAGAGGGAAATAAATTTCGATCGTCTGGATAAAAAATCCCAAAACTCATTTTAACAAACATTAGAATTCCTAAGTGAGTTCATGAGGTTAATTCATAAGGTTGACGTGCAAAACAATTAGCTGCTGCTCTCCTTATGAGAGTAAAATATTAATAATTAACAATATGCAAAACTATCTTTATAAGTTTTAATATGTTTTAACTTTTTTTGATAGATACATCTACCTTGGATTGCCAGCAGCGCTAAGAGGATCAAGCTATATTCCAGCCTTTTTAATCCTCATTATTTTGAGGAAGTATCGTCTGCCAGAGGAAAATGCCTCTTCAGAAACTATGCTTGAGGCCAAGTTTACAGGGAAGGAAAATGAGGGCAAAGAGACGGACCAAAATTCCAAAGTTTTGAATGATGATGAATTGAAAACTAAACTATAATGCTCTTTTATATCATGCTTTGCAGAATTGGAGAACACACTACAACTTAATTGTTTTTAAAATCAATAGAGGTACTTACTGCAGGTAATATTTCCTTGTCTTTAAGAACCTCAACATTTTTCTTTACTCAAGGTAAAAAAATGTTCACTGATGGTATTTCTGAAGGAACAATGGCATTTGAGATTTTCCTCAGAGGGACATTTATAAACAACCTTCAAAGTAGGATATTAGAACCAGCTTTATTTTTATGTTAAATTGTTAAAACAGCAATTTCTCTTTTCACTCATGCAAAATAAGGGCATATTTCCCACATCTTTGCCAAGTGATTCTAAAAATTTCCTATTATGAAAATCTATTTAATTCCATTGAATTTCTGCTTTGATATCAGGATTATTTCGAGACTGAAATTCTTATCTCCTTATGTGAATATTTAAGTATTTTATTCAAATTTATCACTTCATGTGAAAGAGGAGTAAATCTTTTAAATCTATTTTGGAATTGTTCTTTACCTCTTCCTATTCATTCCAGACATGATTCTTTTAAAATAGATTACTCACTAATATGCCATCACTTGATTTCAATTCATTCCCTGCTTTTTGACTCATGTCATATATTTGCTCATTTTGTTCAGAGTACTGACAAACTTAATCAGGTAATTAAAAATCATGTAGCAAAGATTGTTGGATTTTTTTTTCAGCAATTCAAACCTGGCAACTGAACTCTCTCTTAAAAACAAATGTCTAAGTCAAAGTGTGAAAGGTCAATATTAGAAAAACACTAGTCCTTTTTTTTCAGTATTTTTTAATTAATTTATTTATTTATTTTTGGTTGTGTTGGGCCTTCGTTGCTGTGCATGGGATTTGTCTAGTTGTGTGGAGCAGGGGCTACTCTTGGTTGCGGCGCGCGGGCTTCTCATTGCAGTGGCTTCTCTTGCTGCAGAGCATGGGCTCTAGGTGCGTGGGCTTCAGTAATAGTGGCACGTGGGCTCAGTAGCTATGGCTGGCGGGCTCTAAAGTGCAGGCTCAGTAATTGTGGTGCATGGGCTTAGTTGCTCCGTGGCATGTGAGATCTTCCCAGATCAGGGCTCGAACCCGTATCCCTTGCATTGGCAGGCGGATTCTTAACCACTGTGCCACTAGGGAAGTCCCGAAAGACACTAGTCCTTAAAGGCTGTTTGTATTGCCAGATGTTATCCAAAAAATCAGTTTCCCAGATTCAGGAGGCCTCCTTAGTCTAATGTTTATGTCACCCAAGGTGTCCTAAGTTAGAACACAAACACGAGTTTTCTTTACGTCCTCTTAGAGAATGAAGTGTTTAAAAAGTAGCTTCTGTTATGGAACTGAGGTTAATAAAATTCAAGATGTACATTTAAAACTAAATCTACCCTTATTATTATTTTGTGGCTTAGGGATACAATAAAAGTATGAAAGGATTTTAGAGACACAAGAGGACTTATGGATGATATGGAGTTTCTGGTTCAAGAGAGTAGAATGAACAGCCATGTTTATCTACTTCTTATTCTCCCTCCCACTGAAAGGACAGTCAATATAGATGCAATGATACAACTCCCTTAAGGGTGAGGAAGATGTGGAGAGGGAGGATTGGAGAAGTGGGTGATCAATATACTCTGATTTTTTATGTGTATTTACTCAGAGTAATCAATATACTGATTATTTATGTATCATATAAAGGGAATGGGAGTGTCTCCAGGGATAGAACAGGGTGGCAGGAGCTGTCATTCAGGATGCACTTAGAAGGAGCCTGGGATGTAGGTAGGAACCTCTGAATTGAAAGTTCAAAGAATACAAGTTAGACAGAAAATAGACCACAAGCTAGACAGGAAATAGGCCAGTTAACTGAAGGACTGTCTACGTATACTTTGCAGACCAATATGATTTCCTGAGAATTGGATGCATCATTTAAGGAGAAAGCAACAGAGAGGACTGGGTAGAACAGGTTTGAGGGGAAGATTTAAGAGTTCAGTTCTCTGCTCACGAAGTCTGAGACTTCATCAAGACTGTGATTCAAGACAGGAACAGTGTTGACACTGGAGAGAGGAGCTAAAACCATTGGAAGTGAGGAGTTCCAACTCAGGGGACGTGTGGCAGATGAGGGACAGTTGTGTGTTAGGGTCAGATGACATGAAACTTGGAGCTGCTTTATTTGGGAAGGGAGGAAATGGGGAGAATGCTCTGGAAGCTAAAAGAGGAGCAAGGACTCACCCTATATCCAGAGAGTTGTGAGAAAAAGTCAACAGTTACCACATGAGATGCTTTTGGGGGAAGCATTGTCCTCAGGAGAAACCCAGATTTTGGTGAGGCTGCAGCCGTGAAGAGAATGCTGGTTTATGAGTTTGAGAATATGGACAGTTTTGGAGATGAGGGACTCTGAGTTCCAGGGGACAAACTGAAAGGGGGCAGATTTCAAAATTGGAGTCTGAGAGAAAAAATTGATAATTAGAGGTATATGGAAATTAGAGAATGAAAATTAGAAGAAGGGGAACGAGAGATCATCTGGAATTCTGGGACTTTTTAGGTAACTGACATAATGAGGTTAGTCCTGATAGATTTCAAGGCAGATAGTGCTGGTGACACTGTGAGTGTCAAAGTTAGGAGGGGTCGTGACTGGGCTTCCTCATGACCCCTTGTCATGGAGGCAAACTGGAGAATCAAAATCTTACTTGAGTACCTGTGGCTCTTTCTTGACTTCTATTGATGGGTTTAAGTTGATCAGAGAAAGCTGAGTCTTAACTCTGTGCACAGTTCACCCACTTGAATACCCTCAATGGAGCAGGGTAGGCCCAGAGAGACATGATTTTGGACCCAGTGTCTTGGGCTCACTCTTATCCCCTGCTGGGAATGATGGCATTTTACTCTAGGGTTCTCTTTTGACACTTCTTGGTGGAGGAAAGAAAATCAGAGAAAGTGAGTATTGGAGTGCTCTGTGACCTCTCCTGACCTCTGTTGTTCAAGTCCATGAGGCCTGGGGAAGTCAGTTATTATTCTGAGCATTTGTCTTCCCTCAGGATAGGGTAGAAGTAAAGGCACAGCAGACGGAAGTAGAGGAGAGAAACAGCAGGAAAACTGGTAGTGGGAAGTCTAGGATCGTTCATTGTCTTATTTAATACTGTGAGGAGTCTAAGTTTATGGAATTAGAAATGGTTTAATATATTATTTATAATTCTCAATATAATTGATATTTATGGGAACTTTAAAAATAAGTACATAGAAAAACCACAAAAATTGGGAAAAAACATAAAGGGAAGGAGAGGAATGCTTCATATTTTATAGCATGGAGTTAAAATATATTTTAAGCTTAATAAATTCAGATAAAATTGGCAAACACATCTTATCAGAACTGCTGAGAAGTGGTTGTCTCTGTAGCACTGGAAGCAGGAAGAAAAGCAAAGAACAATGCATTTGCCTTTCATTTTTGTCCCTTTTGTACTCTGATTTCTTTTCTCTTGTGCATGTAAAATAAAATGAAAAAAATTTTCATAAAGAATACACATCAGCAAAAACAATAATAATAAAAGAAATAAAATAGGGCATTTTACAGAAAGGGAAGAACTGAGTCCTCCAGTTGTGAGATTTTCAAAGGTTCTCCAATGGGTGCTTATTTATTTACTTATATTTTTAGTTTATTATTTTTTAACATCTTTATTGGAGTATAATTGCTTTACAATATTGTGTCAGTTGCTGCTGTATCACAAAGTGAATCAGCTATACATATACATATATCCCCATATCTCCTCCCTCTTGCGTCTCCCTCCCGCCCTTCCTATCCCACCCCTTTAGGTCCTCACAAAGCACCGAGCTGATCTCCCTGTGCTATGCGGCTGCTTCCCACTAGCTATCTATTTTACATTTGGTAGTGTATATATGTCCATGTCACTCTCTCACTTCGTCCAATGGATGTTTATTGAGCAATTTTTTTCTCGTTTCTGTCCTTGTTTCTAGAGGATATGCGTCTTGGTGTGTGTATGTAAGGAAAGTGGTGATGAACTAAGTTGTAGGCTGTAAAATTCAAGCGGGTGTCATTTTATTAGGGTGAATAAACATACACAGAAGACAATGACAGAACGACAAATAACAGCACACGGTAACTTCAAACCCTGTGGACATATGGTGAGTCACTAAGTAATCAGAGTTTTTTGCAAAAACTTCCCATTCTGTTTTTGGGAAACATTGCAGAAGCATGCTAATTGGTAAGGGATTTCTTTCCAAGAGAAGAAGACAAAGCTTTCTAGGAAGACACCTTGCCCTTTTTCCTTCTTCCTTCTGGAAGTGAAGATATTAGGCCTTAAGGAGGAGCAAGAAGCCATCTTGCCACCAAGAGGCAAAAGCGTAGGGATGAAAGATGATGAAACACGGTGTAGCAGGAAGACAGGGAGAGCCCGGCCACCAGCAGTGGCAGGGCTGAGTTTTGTGGGCTTTTAAGTTTACCAAATGTGAGAGGAAGGCCTATAAAAAATTTCAAAATGACGAATACAAAATAAAATTAAAAGTGATAATTTACTTAGAATGAGAAAAAAAATTCACAAGTTCCATGTGATATGCTTTCAGACATGATCATGATTTCTTTTTTAAAAAAAGCACTACTGCAAACATTAGAGTTAAATGGGTATTTAATTTTAATAAAGCTTTCCTGCTACTATTGCCATTTCTATTCAACATTATGTCCTAGCCACAGAAATGGGAAGAAAAAGAATTAAAATTTGTAAGGATAAGAAAAGAAACAAAAAATAAAACTATCAGTGACATGTTTGTATTGCAGAAAATCCACAAGTTACTATAGATGAGCTATCAACATGATTAAGTGAATTTTAACAAAGTTCACTGGTTACAAGGGCAATCCACAAAATCAAATGCAGCTGTTCATATATCAATAGCAATTAGGAAATGATATTAGTAAAGCATATTATTTAGTGTAGCATCAAAAAAACACAAAAAACAAAAAATAAAACCACATTGAAATCCTAGCAATAAATCTTATAACAGGTGTCTAAGACCTCTATCTTCCAATACTGCAAAGCAGTATTCAGAGAAATTAAGACCTACATCATGTTCATTTCTTGAAAGATTTAATATTTTAAGGATGTCGGTTCTCCCAAGTTTTATCTATAAGTTCAGTGAAATCTCAAACAAAATCCCAGTAGTTTTTGAAATGTGGATATTGACAAGATTAATTTGGCCTTTACATGGAAATGTAAAGGGCCAAGAAGAAATCAAAGCAATCTTGAAGGGTAAAGTTGGAGAAGCCCACCACCAGATATTAAGACCTATAAAGCTAAAGGAATTAAGCCAGTGTGATATTGACAACCAGTCTCCCATCCCTGGTACCACTCTCTTCCTTGCAGAGACCTTCTTCACCCCATGCAGAGTCCGACACCATGTGGTGCTGGGCTGCTCTTTTCCTACCCGGAAACCCTTCTCACCCTTTTCAGGTTCCAACACCTCACATCCGGCCTTCACTCTGCTCTCCCCCACAGTGATGTCTTCTTCACCCTATTCAGGTCTGACACCCACGGCAGGGTGCCCCATGTGTGATGTCCCCCTTATACTCCTGTGATGGTTGGTGCTATGTGTCAACTTGGCTGGGACATAATATCTGGATATTTGGTCAAACATTATTCTAGATATTTCTGTGAAGGACTTTTTTAGATGAAATTAACA